TATATATATTTAATTTATAAATGTGTATTTTTATTATGGAATATGGGAGTACATCAGATTTTTCTATTTTTGTAATGTGGTCTTCTTAACTAGAATGCCCTAATTTTTCAATTATATTAAGCAGCTGTTAGTGTATTGAGTTTTCTTTATACTGTATCCATTTCAGTGGATTTGAGAATTAACTTCTGGATTGACAAATTGAGATACCAGCCTGCAAACCAGAAAGTTAGTTCAGGTTAATCCCAATTATTTATTGGAGATGTTTTTAGAATGTTTTGGCAGTGTTTAGAAGGGCAGGTAGAATCAGGATCCATTTATCACAAGATACATCTGTTAATGCCCTATAAAATAATAGATTCTTGCTTTTTTCCCCTGTAGAGTAAGCAAAATATGTAATCAATCTTCTCTTTATCTTTTCATTGTCTCTGAAGGAATGTCAGTATTGTTTCATGTCACTGACGTAAGGATACATGACACATGGACACTATATTGTTGTGTGATTATTAAAAATAGAAAAAATCCTAAATGGTTTCAATATCTGCTTCTGAAAATCAGCTAAATGAATGCTTGTTCTCAGTTTCTGTAGATAGATGTAGTGGATTGTCATGCTGAATGTCTGAGGATAATCACTAGAGTCTTCATCTCTGCAGATCTTTGATGGCCCTAATGCCCATTCCTACTCTCTGGGGAAATTCTGTGGCCTTTCCCTCCCTCCCCTGGTGACCAGCTCTGGCAGTACTATGACAGTGGAGTTCCATTCTGACGAGAGTGTTAGTGGGAGGGGTTTTCTCATTGAGTGGCAGGCTGTTCAGAGTTCAGGACCTTTGCCCACCATTGCTCCAGGTCAGTCCACTTGACTAGTTATTCTGTTTATATAAATCTTTAATTCCCCAGAGTCCTCTGAACTACTCACTGTTAAGGTTTTTAAGTAGTAGCTTGTTACACTAACCATGGACATTCTGACATGCAATAAAATTTCCTGTAATGCTTGCGCCATATGTGATGTGTGTGTCGCAATGTGTGTGCTGCCAGGGACCTGTGGGGGTGCTCTGATGACCAGTGAATCACCCATGTTTCTCTTCTCACCTGGCTGGCCTGAGAACTACCCGGAGAATATTGAGTGCACCTGGATCATTAGGTCTCCTGGTTCCACTGTGGAGTTCAATCTCTTGTCTGTAGACATTGAAGCTGACATCACCTGCTTCTATGACAGCCTAGTCATCAGAGATGGTGAGGGCCCAACTACACCAGGGGACTTTGTTGTCTATCATACTCATTTTGAATATTTAAAATTAATGGTTTCAATATTTCTTTCAAAAGAATAAAAGATAATTTCAGATGTCATTTTCTGTTATATATGAGCCACTTTCCTAATTGTGCAAAGATTTGCATCTGTAGGACAATATCTATTGTCTCAAAATGCTCTCCTTTTACAACGAGTTCTGTCTATTTGGCTTCTTCAAAGGTGAGACAAATCTTTCCCCATTGTTAGCCACTATCTGTGGCAGGGAATTGCCAGGACCTGTTCATTCCTCTGGAGACACTATGTTCCTGCGTTTTACCTCTGATGGCAGCTACAGTGGTGCAGGGTTCAATGCATCCTTTCACAAAGGTGAGTTTCCAAAATGCCCCTTACTTCATCTTTGTAAATAACACTAGGCTTTTCTTGACTTTTTAAAAATAAAAAAAACATGTTATTCTTCCCCAGTGTACTACCCAGTAGCATGTCATTACATGTTCAAGCAGCAGAGTCTTGTCAAAGTAGAGCTCATAATGGATGGAGCAAAATATAGGTATATCCTGCAGCAAAACCTGGAACAGTCTGCAAAAGATCTGAAACTAGGATGTAGATTCCTGTCTCACAAGGACAATGACTCCAAACTCAAAGCCAAGGCAACCCTTGAGTGGCATAAATGTCCAGACTTAAATCTGTGACAGGAACTGAAGATTGCTGTACATCACTGCTCCCCCAGCAACCAGCAACAGCTGGATCAATTTTGCAAGGAAGAGTGGGCAAAAAAAAAACCCACAAGATGTGAAAAGCTGGTTACAACATATTGTACCGCAAAAGACTTAGAGCTGTAATTTCTGCAAAAGGGGAGCAACATATAAAAATGCTTAAGGTCTCAGTGGGATGAATACTTGTACAGGCTGTTTTTTGCATTTTCCATTAAAAAAATCTTTCAAATAAATGAATATGCCCCATCAAAATGTTAAGTATGTTTTGTTAATCATACAGAACGATTCTGTTCAAATGTGTTGCAATTGGAGGTTGTAACAGCAAAATGTGGTAGATGTCCAAGGGGAGTCAATTTCTATGCCCACTCTATGTAACACTTCTGTTTTCTTGAGTAATTTCACTTTCAGCATGTTGCATTAAGTATTTTAACCTAGCAGAAATATAAAAATCCTCTGTTCCAACTTCCCATGCCAAAAAAGAATAAAAACAATAGTAATCAACTAAATACTAATAAAGCAGGAGTGGTCAGTGTTGATATTTATTTAAATTATTTTATATTTTTGTATATTATAAGGTGTCTTCAGAACAGTGTGTTTTCAGGGTTAATGGGTAAATCTCTCAATTCCTTGCAAATCTGTATGTTCAACTCCAGAGAAGCTAAACTGCAAATACTTGTATAAATTGACTTATTAAAATTACTGTTGATGTCCAATAGGTATTACATTTCTGTTTAAGAAGATACAGTGGGTTGACTGATTGGGTCATTTCTGGACAATTAAGAGAGATTACACTCAAGTGTATTATAATACTGGAATATCTTCTTAAACAGAATCATACAAAGAGTTTCTAGCCACACTGTGGTTTGAATATATCCTGTTTATCTTTCAGGCTGTGGAGGTCTTTTCCATGCAGATAGAGGTGTCATTAGCTCTCCAAGATACCCAGAGAACTATTCCCCCAACCTTGACTGCACCTGGCATGTTGTGGTCACCAGTGGGCTTACTATTTCATTGGAATTTGAATCTCAGTTCCATGTACAAGGGCTAAATACACAGTGCACCACAGGAGACTACTTGGAGGTACAGTATATAGAACTTTGAGAGGGGTTTAGTTTGACCCAAGACTGTGTAAGTAAAGTGTAGTGAAGAAATCATAAACCACAGAAAAGGCACAAAAAGCTTGAAATGTAATGTAAAATAAAGATTGTAAGAAATAAAAGTTAATCAAAATGAGTACATGGTATGAGTATGGTGAAACCATAGGCAAAGTATAAAAATCAAATGCAAATTCACTGTGATAAACTGTAAGGAGGGATGAGTTATATCAGTAAACATACTGTATAGTTATATCACTCTGCTCAAATAGAAAAATTATAATACAACAGTATTTTTTTAGATTGAAAATTACATCTTGATTAAAGTAGTTCTAAAATGTGGATTAGTGTAATGTTAATAGCATTGCATGGAGCATATACAAAGTTCTTGTAAATAATGGAATTCCAGAAAAACACAAGGCTCACATCTATTCACAACCCTATAGTTAGTTTTAAGTACATCCATGTCTGGTATGAATTTGTTCTTACAAGACACCTCCTCTATTAGGTTCTGGCACTTCTATGGGGGATTTTTGACTATTCTTCCAGGCAGAATTTCTCTATGTCCTTTAGAAACATTCGTTTCTGTTTGTGAATTGCTTTCCTGAGTTTGAATAAATGTTTGATTGGTTCGAGGTCTGAAGATTGAGATACATTTATTTTGTGAGTAGTTAACTCAATCTTTATTCATTTGGATGTATGCTTTGAATCTTTTATCAGGCTGAAATGCCCATGTTTGGCCAAGGTTGAGCTTTGTGGTATAGGTGTATACTGTATATACTATAAGCAGGTGTTAGGCCATAGATTTATAATGTAATATTAACAAGGCTTTCAGAACCCATAGATTAAAAACATCCCAAAATATGACAGACTTCTTACATCAAAGTGGGCATTTTCTCAATATGAGCTTCATTTTTTATGGCAAACATAACACTGATGAGAATATACAAAAAGTTTATTTTTGGTTCATCTGACCATAATGGGTGGTACGGTGGCTCTGTGGATAAGGATCTGCACCTGTGGCTGGAAGGTTGCCGGTCCTGGCAGAGGAATTCTACTCCGTTGGGCCCCTGAGCAAGGCCTTTAACCCAACTGCTCCAGGGGAGCCGTATAAATGGCTGACCCTGTGCTCTGACCCCCAGCTTCTCTCCCTGTCTGTGTCTGTGTCTCATGGAGAGCAAGCTGGGGTTTGCGAAAAGACAAATTCCTAATGCAAGAAATTGTATATGGCTAATAAAGTGATCTTATCTTATAAGTAGATTCATGCTACTAATATTGCTACTAAATTACTTCAATATGTTAGCTCCTTTAGAAGGCTAAGGGAACAATAAACCTTCTGAGGCATCTGTCTGGTTCTAAAAGCTTTTATTAAAGTTCCAAAGAGCTTAATATGATTGTAGATTTATTTTTTTATTCAGCCATCTCCCCCATGAATCCACATGAGCACAGGGACCCAGCACCACCATGCCACCCTTTTTTTGTTAGATTTTATTTCATTGAATACTAATAGGTGTGAATAAATGTGATGCATGTTTTCAGGAATTCAATTGTGATAAATATGACTATGTTCAATGCAATGCTATTGCTTTTTTAAGATACATTATGATGTTTATCATTTACTGTATTCAGTAATGCTTTTGTTTTTATTTCATCGGTTATATGTACAGTATTCATAATTCTCTATCATACTGTATCAAAATATATATATATAAAACAAGAGAATATACTTTATCATAGTGGAAATACCATTTAAAATTTCACCCCAAATGTATTGGTTTAATTTGTGCATTTGCAAGGTTGACAGTGTAGAAGCCAAGAGATTCAAGCCTGAATTATTTGTTCGTCCAGCCAAGCTTTATTGTATGCATACATAGAACTACAATAAAGGCCATAATAGTTATAGTATATATCTTAGTTCAAAGGGGATATGGCTCTACACAGTTTATATACACGTTTCTCTACATCCTCCTCTCCTGTCTTTGAGGTAGCTTTCTCAAGACACTCCAGGACTCAGAAAGCACTTAAACATTCCTTTCTCATCAGGAGTTGAGTGTAAACATTCGCCATTTGGAAGTTTAGTATGGGGGGGAAGCCTCTGTTCTTAAGCAAGCGTGACAGTCAGAGTTCAGTATGCGAATTCAGCAGATACGGTTACAGAGTAACACACAGATTCTGCTAGCAGGCTCCATCAACAGAGATCAGTATAATAATGTGTAGGTTTTTGCAAGCTTTTGTTCTGTTTTTGAAATGTGCCTTTCTGTTTGAGAACTCATGCTTTTGTTTTGCTTTTCCATTACTTACACATGGTTATGAAAATATATGCTCTGTGCTTCTGTAGCTGAGGAATGGGCCTGATGGCTCATCTCCACCCCTGGGTCCCAGTGGAGGGAACGGACATTACTGTGGGACCAGCTCCCCCTCCTCCCTACATACAACAGACAACACTCTCTTTGTCCATTTTGTCTCTGATGGCTCCAGTGAGGCACTTGGATTCAAATTCACCTTTGAGGCAAGGGGCCTAGGTGAGCACTCCAGCTCTTACTGTTTCCCCTCCTTTAAAACAACATACATCTTTTACAACATATGAATAGCTATTGATATGTAATCTTGCATAAGTACTTATCCTGTGTATTGTGCTGTATGTACAATTATTATCTTTATTACATATTTGCGAACTAATGAATTTACAGTATATAAAAAGGTTTTGGCTGTAGTTTTAGAGCTGTATTTTTGCAACTTCATGACATTACACATTCAAAGTCACTACTTTCAGAAACAAATTATTTGTGCTAGTTCTCTAATTATTCTATTTAATTTTTATTAGTCCAACTGGATTGAGAGTATGGTTAAGAATAGTAATTTGTTCTAACATGCAGATTTAAAAAAAAACATTCTATTTGATTAAATCTTGATTTTAACATGCTACTATTGGCCTTTTCAGATATCACATCATTCATGTTGACAAACCTCATCCCTCTTCTTGTTGTCATAATTTTGCATTACATTACATTACATTACATTACATTTTGCATTAAGGCAAGGTTTTATACTATACTGTAAGTGTTATGGTTCATCTGTGAGGCTAACAACATTGTAGCAGACTGCCTGCTGACTGCCCACTAGCCCACCAACAATACTGATATCCCAAGGCAGAATATTTGCATTATAAAGGACCTCCATCAAATAACAGACCAGGCCATACAGAAATAAAATTCGTTTTAAGCGTGTTTTAATTGCTGCCCTCTGTCTTTATTATTAAACTTAGAAGTTTAAACCAATTTTCTTAAGTCTTCATTAATTGTATAAAAAATAAAACATTTTTATTATTTCTACAGTATGTGGTGGAGGCATTGAACTGAGTGATTCAGATCCCCCTGGATACGTAATGTCCCCCAACTATCCCAGCAACTACCCCCAGAACGTGGACTGCATTTGGGTCATCACTGTCCCCAGTGGGAGAGTCATTCAGCTAGACTTTGAAGATGAATTTTACATTGAGTCATCTGCAAGGTAGTAGTGACCTGTGATGTTAATGTTAACAATTGTTTCATTAAAGAAATAAATATACAGTACATGTACTGTATGAACAAATGTAATGATAAAAAGACGGGTGGTGACATTTTAGTTGTTTATACCTACTGTATGTGTTTGAAGCTGTATATAATTTATATACAGTAAATGGGTTTCTAAGATTAGGCAAAAAGGATTAAACTGTGTCTGAAAAGAGAAAAAGGGTTATGAATGTTTAACTTAATACATTTATTTTTGCATTTTTTTCTGTTAAATGTGATTTTTCATGATTTCCTAGTGCAGATTTTTTTTATATGCTGAGGGATTTAATGTCTTGACACGTGGACAGGCAGTGTTAGAATTATGAATATCTGCTTCTATGGTATAGGGTTCACTTTGTGCCACTGAGTGGTAACAGGACTTATGTGAAGGTAGAGCTTCATCTAAAGTGACAGTGCAGTTTCAGGTAAGGAATAGTTTCAGATAAGGAAAGAAGATTCAGGTCACTGTAGCTTTTGCATATCTTGGCCAATCACTACACACAAATTCTCTTCAGCACTTGTGGGCTACCCCTAAGTGATTTTAAAGTGTTCCATGTAAACTCACATCCTTGTATATAGGTTGTGCCAAAGATGGGATAAAATCTAAACAGACCAGGAATACTGATCTTGTTCACATTGTGTAATCACATGTGCTTCCTTACATCAGGCAGAAGAAGACACCACAGTAAATTAAGCCCCATTAGCATTTTGATAGTGTTCTTAATGGATCCACAAATTGCCAGCAGGCCATTAATATGAGGTGCTGTTTAGGCCATTATTCAAACTTTACCTCTCATACACACTCTGATTTCTCTCACATACACACAAATTGCTCTCACGTTCACTAGTTTTACCTCAGACATACACACAGGGGGGCAAAAGGGGGCGTTGCCCCCTCACCTGAACTGTCCTGCCCCCTCAGTTTTGGACAAAAGGGTTTTTGAACACTTTCGCTTACTTAACTAAAAAATAGTTGTACTTTGTCAATGGTCAGATAACTACAGTAACCCCGAATTCACAGTTACTACATCAGACCGCTTGATGTGCAGGAGGGCTGTCCATCCAGGAACGACACATATTACATAGTGTCTACGTTATTAGGTGTCAACATTATTACGATCTCGTTTGCTCAGGTTGACCGATTCTTTCAGTAGTTTATCCTTATACTTACAGTCATTATATAACTAGGACTGTAGTTATAGAAGTTTTTTTTTTTTTGTTGGTTTGACAACTATTTTTTATAAATGATTCAGAACCTTGTTACGTCGATGTAGCTGCAAAAATGAACTCGTATTGTGTTTTGTCACTCCAGGCAATAATAATAGCGAGAGTGCTGTTGAATGTGAAACTGTACTTCATCGCTAAATACATTGCTCGTCGTTATCTTCTATCATGAAGCACTAATCAGTTGCATTGTTGCGAGATTTTACTTGGGTAGTTGCAACAGCTCCATTTCAACCGAAATTTCAGACACCAGCCCTGTGTATGCTGCTGTGACGGAGAGAACACTCATCGTAGCCGATCACAATGAAGCTATTGCTTCTGGTGTGACTAAGATGTTATTAATTAAAGCTACGGCTTGGCTTAGTGCTTGTTGCGGTTGAGGTTGATTTCTTTCCTCCATCTTGGAACGCATTAGAAAATTAGAAAGCTTGTTGATAGATTTTCTCAGCCAATCACATTGTGCCACTTAGACTGACCGCCAACATTGGGCCATAATTTACCTCTCATATACACATAAAATGCTATCACATTCACTAGTTTTGCATCTAGTGAGCATTGTGAGATGTATGAGACATCTTTGTATGTTTCTATGTCATAATAAATTCTACAGCCATTTTACAAGGAGACTTCTGCTGTACCTGTGTTAAATCATCCTCTGTCATTCAAACCTAGCTGCTTGTATGATTACCTGGAGCTACGTGATGGAGCAACTTCCAGCGCTGACCTGATTGCCAGACTCTGTGGTATTCAGCTCCCATCTACACAGCACTCCACTGGCTCTGTTATGTACCTGCGCTTCCGGACTGACAGTAGTGTCACACACAAAGGATTCAAAGCCAAGTACTCCATAGGTACTTGTGACTGGATTTTGCACTAACACTTTAATCACTTTTAAAAGTTAGGTCTCTAACTAGTAACTATTGTGTTGTGAACTTACTCTTCATAACTTTTAAAGTAAGCATGAATTTATTGTGTCCAGGATTTTGAATGATAAAATGAAGAGAAATAAAAAACATTAAAAATACATGCTCTAATTATATGCCTTGCACGGAAACAAAGAGCTTGGCTTAAAATGTTAAAAGTCTTTAAACACAAATAATTTAATTGTCGTTCAAATGAAAATGAAAATACAGATTTTATCAAACCCTTTTTTTGATACCAGTATACCAGTTTGATACCAGTATGATGGCTGTGATATAGTGATCATTTGAAATGTCCTGTTTGTTTTTCTTCTCTATTTAAAGCAAAGAATGTGGTTTAGAAAACTATTTTTAAGTACATAACTTCTGCTTTTATTTTTACAGCTACATGTGGTGGCAGATATGTTGGACAGAGTGGAATAATAAAAAGCCCTGGATTCCCTGACTCCAGTTATCCAGATGGGTCATATTGTGAGTGGTATTTGCAGGGGCCCACTGGGCACTACCTGACCCTCACCTACATTGCTATGGACCTACAGACCTCTACTGATTGCAGTGCTGACCACGTGGAGATCAGAGAGAATAATGCTACAGGTCAGTGCAATTTGCAGGTCTTGAGTTCCCTGGGTTTTATATTTTTCCCATATTACAGTGTTTTATCCTTTTCCATCACTAAGTCTGTTAAGAGTGTTCTTGATGCTACCTTTCCAAATCCTAGAAGCTACTGGCAATGTTAATGCAACGGATTTTTACAATCAACCATGAAACAAGGACCTGAAAACAGAAACTGATATAGAGAGTTAGTGAGTTCTATTTATGAATGAGAATAGGAGGTTTTTTAAACAAGGATTGCTGTATGGGTATCTAACAAGTTTCCCAGCCAAGCTGTGGAACTGATTCAATTGGATCTATCAAGACATGGCTGGAAAAGGATCTCAGAACACCAAATTGCTTGTAGCCAATCCCTTGTTGTACCCTTTGATCATTTTGAATTGATGTACTTATGATATGTAGTGAATTGCTATACAAACTATTAGGCCTTTCCTAAATAGAAATGTTGTTGTATTGTATGTAGATTTGCTTGCTGGATCTATTTCCTTTGGCGGATGTATACCTCCTTGGAGGCTATATTACAGTATATGTAATGTGTAATTGGAAAGAAGTTCCGTGCTGTCCAGTAAATGAGAAGAGCTGCCTGCAACATAGTCCTTGCTTCCTGTTATTTTGTTTGTTTTAGTAGTTCGTGTTATAGCACATACATGACAGTTGTGCATCTAATTTTAAATTTTATAGCTGTTACCCAAGGAAATAAATGTATTTTTTTTGTGGAAAATAAATACTTCTGAGGTTAAACATGAAAAGCTTTCATTTAATTAAGATAAAAATGCACTTTCCTCCAGAAACATTTTTGTTAAAAGCATTTGTACATTTCTAAGATACAAGTAATAGTTTTATTCCATGCTGAAAAGAGAACAAAGAAAGAGCCTCCTGCTCCTCCTCTCTCCCAGCTTTTGTTCTTCTACTGTGTTCACACCTGAAGAAAGTTCCATGGCTAAAATCTTGTGTTTTCATTCTTCTCTTTTCAGCATGGAATAAACCTATTACTTGTTCCTTTGCAGCCTACGCATGCTGACGCAGCTCTTCACCTGAACCATTTCTAAAATAAATGTTATTTTCTTCAAAATATTTGTGCTTTACAGAAAATGATATTGAAAACACTTTCTGAATGGTATAAAGATATATAAAATGTTAAAAGGGGGTTATATAATTTAATGTTATTTATCTGTTAAGCATCACAGTAAATTATTCTGTAATAAATAAAAATGTATTGTTATAAAGTTTTCTCTATCATGTGTGATGTAAAGAAAATATTTTTAATGTCTCAGGGCATCTCCTTGGCAGACACTGTGGAAGTGCCCTGCCTTCACCGGTGGTCACAGCAGACAGCTATGCCTATGTGAAATTTGTCAGTGATGGGAGTGAAAACGCTCTGGGGTTCAGCCTGAGATTTGATGCCAGTGTGGAAGGTGAGTTTTGTCCACTTTCAGCCTGAACTAGATCAAAATTGCAGCCCACTCACCAAAATTGCAAAAATGTATTGCAAACACAGGATTCATTTGAGGGATTCCAATGGGAAGTAAAAAAAGCCTTCAGAAAACAAATTTTCATTAATTATTGGATTTATATTTTTCTGTTGATGAGCATTTCAGTTTTAATTTCATTCAGGTTCAGTCTGTGTATTCTGTTGAGTGATTTTCTTCGTAGTTCAGTATTATTTTCTGTTGATTGTTATATCAAACTGAGCATTAAATGCAAAATTCTTACACCTTTTTGTAATAATAAACTTTATTTCATACAGCACCTTTAAAAGTGGCTTCTCAAAGCACTTCACAGAAAAAAATACACAATGACAGGAGATGGCAATATTACACAAGTAACAGTAAGGATTTGGAATATAGTTGGAAAGCGAAGGGGCTCACAGAACCAGTTAAATAAGAGCCCTTTTAAAGAAGAAGGTTTTGAGTCTAGATTTTAAAGAGATCAGAAAAGTGACTCTGTGATATCCTTAGATATGGAATTCCAGAGCTTTGGGGCGTAGCAGAAGGCCCTGTCACCCATAGAATGTAGATGGGCGTGGGGAACAGACAGAAGACCAGAATTAGATGAATGAAGGTTGTGAGGTGTGGAGTAGCACGATAGTAACTCAGACAGGTACTGAGGTGCTAAGCCATACAGATCCTTATAGGTGAGCATGATGATTTTGAAACCTCATAGGAAGCCAGTGGAAAGATTCCAGAACAGGAGTAATCACCTGCACAAGACCTGGCTGACCTGGATGCCAAAATGTGGACATACTGACGTTTGTTCAGACTGGATTTAGACACCCCAGCAAGTAGGAAGTTAGAGTAACTATTTCAAGAGGAAATAAAAATATGTTGGCCAGCTTCTCAGCAGACAACATATATATGCCATATACTGTACATGGCATATATACAACTATAAATATGGCAGGTGGTGGATTTCATAAGAGATATCAATTTACTAAGACATGCAGCATCAAGTAAGGAGAAGCTAGAGAGAAGAAAAACAGCAAAACTAGGAAAGCAAGGAGGAGGTGTGGAGATAGCATGTATTGTAGAGAGAATGTGATGCTGGATGTTGTTGATCTTGGAGCCAAACAGCTCTAAGAATGCGATGCAAAGATTGGCGGATAATGCTACTGGGCGGTTTGACTTAAGCAATCTGTTAATGATGGAGAACATGTGTCTAGGATTGGGATGATTTTTCTTAATGATGTGGGAGAAGTAGCTGGATATAGCAGGCTCTGTTGCATTCTTGCATTCAATCAAGTACTCTTTCCAAGACTGAAAATGTACATTTACACCAGAAAGATGCCACCTGCATTCCAGATTTCGGGAGACTGCTTTCTTTGAACTCAGCTGTTCAGTGTACCATGGGGCAGAATGAAAAAAGGAGATGGTTCAAGTTTTAAGAGGAGCTAAGATGTCAAGAATAGACTAGAGAGAGTTATTAAACATTTGTACTTTGTCACTTAAAGGCTCAGAGTTAGATAAGCAAGAGAGCAGAGTTCACAGACCTAGTCTGATCAAGTGATCACCATGTGCAAAAACTTACAGAGAGTGAGGGGGATGTATGTGAAAAAGGAAATAAAAAAAAAAGAATACCTAAGTGGTAATTTGAAATGACTAATTCCAGCATGTGACCTTTGTTATGATTTGGGCTAAGAACAAGCTGGGTTAGATTAAAGGATTCCAACAAAGCTAGACAATCCTTGGCTAAATTGGAAGACTGTAAATCAACATTAAAGTCACCAAGAATAATGATTCTCTTAAACCTGAAACATTAAACAGAAAGTAAATCAGCAGACGCACTCTAAAAAGGCATAGTGAGGCTTGTTAAACAACAGACCAGATTATTACATCTGTGCCAGGTTTCAGTCAAACACATAAAATCAAGTTTTTCTCTGTGATGAAGTCACTTAGTAAATCAGCCTTGCTGTTCACAGATTAGGTGCTGAATAATGCTGATCTAGCCGGTCTCAGTGAGAAAAGGATTTTGTGATAAAGCAATGTAGCTTCCAGGCATGGAAGGGAGAGTATGTTGTTCACGTCAGCACTGGTGTGGGATGTTCTACCACTAGCCTTGTGCCATAAAACAGGCACATTAACTCTTCTAGTGGATGAAGGTAGAAAACGACGTCTAGAGCTGCAGTGGGTGTATCTCATTGGACCCAGGATCCCAATATTACGGCAGTGATCAAAGGTAGATGCGAATTCACCGAGGAGAAACTGAACAGGTTTTAAATATCCTGGAGCATGACTTCTCACTACAGCCAGATGCTCAACATGTGTCCTCAGTTATCAGTGCAGGGCAGAGGAGTCGCCCATCACCCCTACAGCTGCACACACCCTACAATTCACAGTGGGGTGCACATAACAACAGCTACAACATGCCCTGCCGCTTCACAGAGGGGTGGAGATAATGACCTCCATATGAATAGACCATAGTATAAATATAGGAACAAAAAGACAGAGAAAAGATCAATCACATCAATATCAAACACCATTCTTCAGCTGTGCCATGGGAGAGGTCATCCTGCCAATGAAACTTGGACTTTTTTTTATTGAAAACAAATTGCTCTCTTATTTATTTGGAAATTCTTATTTCCTTTATTTATTTCTGCAGACTAAAAAAAGTCTCTCCTATTTTATTGATGTATTGACAGGGCAGGGAAATCAGTTCCCTTTTGCTTGTGTGCATCTGGTAAAGAGGAAAATTAAGTCCTGGTTAGGATTCATTTTATTTGGATGCAGGTCCTCTATATTCTCTCTATATCTTGTTAAGGTGTTTGTGGTATTCAGTTTATAATGGAGGAATTCTGGATTCCCAAATTTCTACACGAAGCAGGACCAAAACCCACTGATTGTACATATCTGTCTATAGTGTAACCATCATGTGTTGTGTAGTTGTGTTATTAAAAAATATTTAGCTGGACTAAATTTGGGTCTGATTATTACTATATCACAAAGTTGTGCAGGAGACTAAAGAACACACATAGTGCACAATGTTTAGAGATCCCTGTCTGCAGTGTTTGTTTTTGATTGAAAAACCTTCCTGTTTTCTAATTTACTTACCAATAATAATATTAATATTATGATCGCAAATCCAATTTGCTTGACTTACTTTTACTCAGTAATGGAAAATTACACATCCAAAAAGCATCCCAGACCTTCAGTTTGCTCTTTAGCTGGTATCCTTGTTTGCCTCAAAAATGTTGGATCAATGGTTATTTGGCTGAAGACTAGTGATTATAACAATGTATAAAGAATAATCAATTAAACCTGTTTGCTCATTTTAAATGGGAAGGCTCATGGGATGTTGCAGTTAGCTACACCTCTGAAAGTGATGTTTAAGGTAAGTAGCTTTTCCCTACAGTTTAAGTGGGGATCAGCACTGGACGGCAGATTGTGAGTTGGCAGATAAATTAAAATTACTGTTATTGTACAGGCCAATGATACACTATATCCACAATACCAACCTTTTTTTGACCTTGTCAGAGATAGTGGACCCATTATTGACTCTTCCAAGTAATATATTTTCTTGACTTTGGGTCTTATAAATGTATTACAAAGGTATTTTAAGCTGTTTTATTAACTGGCAGTATTGGAGGAACATAGTTTTCAATATTCTGGTGGAGCTTTCAATACAGTTTCTTTTGGTTTCAATACTTACTTTCAATACCCCCAAGAGGGCAAATATCTTTTTCAATTTAATGGGATCAATAATCAGCCAGTTTTGTAGGCATCTCTGACGTTTTTCTAAAGGATGTTGTTCTTTTGCAAGGTTTTGTCTCAATGTCATTTCCTTAATGTAGAGTGTGGAGGTGATCTGAATGCACCATTGGGGACCATCACTTCTCCAAATTACCCCAACCTGTACCCTCACAGCAGAGTGTGTGAGTGGAGGATCACTGTGCCCCAAGGCAGGCGAGTGACGCTCACCTTTAATGACCTGCATCTGGAGGATCACAACACCTGCCTCTATGATTATGTTGCTGTGAGTATGACTCTGAAGCAGTGTGGAAATCACCCTGAGCAAGTGCACCTCAATCCCAAACATGATTGAGTGGCTTCAGAAAGAAACCTTGAACAAATTTGTTTGTTTAATTTGTTCCTCTGTGGTTAAAGGAGAAATGTAATTGTGGTTGTTGCTTGTCCTAAACTTTGCATCTTGCAGTAGTGATTTATCACTGTAAACAATTGTCAAGGATATGATCCTCTTGTGAAGATCTAATTTGAATAATAGTTTTTGGTGAATTATGTTATGGCTCTGCATACAATTAAATCAATGTAACATGATTTGATCATATTTCAACATTATTCTGTTTTTTGCATTTATTTTACTGTAATTTCACTGCATTTCTCATTCCTTCAGATTTAACACGATTCATAAAAGAAAGCATTTTTAGGGATATATTGCCTGACTCTTTTGGGAGTTCTTTTGGGATTCTTTTGGGAGAATGCTTCAGGGGTACTGAAAAACTGTTGTATTTTTTCCCAGGTATACAATGGCCTCTTATCTAGTGCACCTACCTTGGCCAGGTACTGTGGTACTGTGAGCACAGGAACTCTGGTGAAGTCATCAGGGAACACCATGGCTGTTGTTTTTGTCACTGATGCATCGGTGTCAAATGGCGGATTCAGTGCTGACTACTCCTCTAATGAGCCAGCAGGTGATATGATGAAAATAGCTTGTTTTATGAGAATAGTTTCCTCTCTGTTTTCACGCTCCAAAGACTGCACCATCTGAAGATGGTGTAACTCTGCAAAACATACTGTATGTTTTTCCTTAATTGTAAAAACATAATTACTCTTTATACTATCAGATTCCTTAAATTAACATTTGCCCAGCTTGTAAGGGAGATAAAACTCACTCAAGAAAAATATATGTCAAATTCTAAACTGGAGACATTTGATAGTACTCATATAAACTCATGCAAACATAAATGTATTTAAAGGTGCTCACAGCTTTAAATGTTGTTTTTAGTCCTTGCTTGATCTCTGACATTACTGTTTCCTATCTTTGTGTTTGCAGTTTGTGGTGGGATTTTAAATGCTCCGGGTGGGGGAAACTTCACTTCCCCAGGGTATGATGGTGTGAGCAACTATACAGACAACCTCAGTTGTGAGTGGCTCATCCAGAACCCAACTCACATCAACTCTTCCATTCACATCAGCTTTGATGACTTCCATCTGGAGCACCACCAGACTTGCGAGTGGGACTACATAGAGTTCCGTCTTGGTCAGTACCATATCTTTGAGTAGACCCACTGTACAAAACTTTTTCAATTTCTCCTGTACAGCCAAGAGGCTTCTTTAACTGACATTATGTGGCACTCTTTAATTCTGTGACTGCAAAAGGTTGCTCAGGACTCGTACAAGGAAACAAATGTTTTTCTTCTGTACTGAGTAGGATCATTTGTTTGTGTTTACGTTTCTGTTGTTGCTGTGCTGAAATTTACAATCTACTCCTTCTGGGTTAGATTCTATTGGATAAATTTGGATTTTGTCTTTTTTTCTTTTTAGAAAAAGTGAGTTCATCTTCTCAACACCTTCATCTTGGGTCCACTTAGCGTAAAAAAAAGGACCCAAACACACTTTTAGTTCCATGTAGTTTTTCAGTTTGATTTACATTCTCTGCAGGGTACTACCCCCATAGCCTAGTTTGCCACACTGCCTTATTGCAAGTTTTCTCCCTACAGGTGATTCGAATGGTGAACTGGTGACAAGGTATTGTGGTCAGTCTGTTCCTAACATGCCACTAGTTGTGTTTGCCCCTCAGCTCTGGGTTCACTTCTTCACAGACCCATATGTTGAAGACATAGGTTTCAAGGCACGATACAGTTTCTCAGGTATGTATTCACACTCTTCTAAACAAGTACAATGATGAAAAATTAAAGCCTTGTAAGCAATTAAAGGTGGAGTCCCAGCTCTTCATATCAATTAACAGCACCCAAACCCCTTCATATTGAAACACGTACTTCAGTGCAGCATCATATTTGAACAGCACTTGAGGATCCTAGCTTTACAAGTACATATAATGTACCTTTTTCAAAAACTGCAATGTTAAAAGAAGAGATTAAGAAATTACAGTACTTATTGGTCTCTGTCCCCAATTGTTTTAAAAAGACTATTAGAGGAGATTAGAACATGAAAAAATTATTTTAATTGCATTATGACAAGAATCCATTATCAATTTTTTCAGCTGATGTTTTCTCTTCATAAGTCCAAGAAGGTTCAAAGGGGGAGAATTTACATGTCTTGTGAAGTCAGACCTGAAGTTGGGTTGGCAGCCTCCAGTTTTCTTTCTTACAGGTTGCGGTGGTTTACAGAGTGGTGAAAGTGGTGTGGTGTCAAGCCCCAACTACCCCAACCCATATGATAACTTGAGCCGCTGTGCCTGGCTGCTTGAAGCCCCTGAGGGCCATCGTATCACAGTGAGTGGGAATCATTCCCCCAGTGTCCTGTTGTACAGTTTATTTCCATCCTTCTCTGAGCTCTGCATCATCTTAAGGGTTTTAGAAAAATGCTTAATTTTCAAATATAATGCAAATAACATAGTTTATAAAGACAAATATGGAGGTCCTGCTTGATATATTTCAGAGAATTGCAGCTGACAAATTGTAACTGTTACTTGATTTGAATTTTTCTGCAAGAACATAAGAAAGGTTTCAAACATGAGAAGGCCATTTGGACTATTGGACACATTTGGACTCAGATACTATTGAGCTTTGGTAATATATATTAACCTTAGTGGTTCTAGTACACAAAACTCTTCTTAGTTTTTTATGGTAAAACTGATACAGACCTTTGTCCTTCTGCTGCCTGAGGCATATTGTTAACTTCTTCCTTAGTGAATACCAGAGTGAAATACTCATTTAGTACTTCAGCCATTTCCCTTTCATTTAAAAAAAAAAATTGTCCCAGATATACTTTACTCCATCTGTGACGGTTCATGTTCTGTTGTAGTACTGAAAGAACATTTTTCATGCTAATGACAGTTGCAGGAATTTGTAGCCGATAGTGCTATCTAGCAATTTTAAGGTAATAGGAATCAGACCAGACAAGACATACTGTGAAAATTAAGTAGGATACCCAGAGATTAGGGCTGATGCAAAAGTGAAGTTTGGGAGAGAGAAAAAACATAATCAATAGATTTATTTTCTAAAAAATGTCTTATCCTAGATAAAACTCCCAAATATGGATATGGTTCAGCTTCTCCTGTCAATAATCCTTTGGGAGACAACAGAGTCCAGCAAAGGCTTAGCTTATCTAAATAACTAACCTATCATAACACAACCTGAACGTATCTACTGTCTTCAGGCTTCAGCTAAATTGAGCATTATTATTGAGCAGCTAACTGACAAATGAAAAGTCAACCTAGGAATTATAAAAACATTAGAACATAACTTAAAACAATTCTAAGTAAATAGAAGATTTTACTCCAAGATCGACCAGTATACTCAAATAGACATGGTAATGACCAACAGCATAATGCATACATGAATTGTTGTGCTCTGTTCTTTTAGATGGTAAAATGCACTTGCTTAAAGGAAGGCCATGCAATCCACAGTTAACTGCACAAACACGGTAGCTCAAAATATTACACATACAAAACAAACACACGGCTAGAAGCCCAACATGAAAATATTTGCTTTTATAATAGAAAATATACATTTTTTTCATTTTAAACTGTCCTGCACCAATTTCTTTTAAATCCCAGCATTAGACACACAAAAGAAAATCAGGGCACTCAGGTACGGTAGTAAATAACATTTTTTTTGCTGTGAGGTTAATCGACAAATATTTTAAAATGTATGTTATGATAGTAAAAAATTAACCACAACATCACATTTGTAATAATCTAACTTCTCTTCATAAAAGAACACACAAAAGTATCCACAAGAGGCACACACTCACAGACAAGACCTGCATGTACACCAGTTACCCAAAAGTAATATCTTACAGGTAAAATCCAGCAGCCCCCTTCTGTCACAGCAAAGAAAGAAGAAAAGGCCTCTCCTGTTACCTTGTGATGCACTCTTCTCAGATTCTTCTCATCCTGAGTCCTCCTGACTGAGGCTTATGAAGCCCTTTCCTAACCTCCCAGAGCTCACAGGAGTTGTGGTGAAACAGGGTGGTGTACGCAGAAATAGTGAGTGGGGCCTAGCTGACTACATGCAGATGGCCAGGTGTAAAAACGTATTGTCTCCTCCACTTTTGTTCCGGTGCATCCTCTATTATCAAGGTCTGGTTTATATACAAGGTCGGTTGTTAGGTTGATAGGCCTGTTTGAGCAATCCCATCTGACACCACCTATTGTGGGGTAATTGAGTGGAGTCTGAGAAAGCAGTGAGTCGTTTAATTTTTGTTTATTGTCGATTGTCCCACTTTATTCCAGAAAGCATGGGAGGCTTTGATTAAAGGATGACTATAGACGTAAAAATAGACATACCCAAACCTCACAGAGACACTTGCCATTACAAGCATACTCAAAGTCAATATAGTTCCTGCCCTACCCCTACTTTTGTCTCAACATGACACACTTTTTATTCTTTTAGCCTCCATTACAATATTCTATATCAGTGGTTCTCAAACTGTGGTACGCGTACCGGCAGTGGTACGTGGCGTGCGGCCAAGTGGTACGCCAAATGACCCTGGAACTGTGTCGTGTGCGCTGAAAAATCGGGACGGGTTTTCATATTTTGTATTTTAATACAGTACGTGTCGAATACGCAGCCTACGTACTACGATACAGTGGGCGCTAATACTTCAGTGGACACAAGAGATACTCTGTAATTCTATACCACTCTATAGGAATGCGTGCTACGGATGCAAGTGACCAATTGTATTTAAAAAAAGCTACTGTATCTCCAGCAAATAGGGAGAAAGGAGAATGTGCGTGATTTTGTAACAATGTCAACGTTGTAAACACAGGAATGCATAGAAATGCGTGCTACGAACGCAGGTAATCTTGTGAGCACACGAAAGCGTGATAACAGAAAAATATATAAGAACTGTTCTAAATTGAGAAAAATACACAGGCATCTCCGTGTTTCGCTCCCATGCGCATGAAATAAAAACTTTAAATAAATACGGAAATAAAAATGGAAACGCGGAAAAATGCAAGCTTGCGTATTGCTAAAGCAGGTAAGCTACACTATTTTTGAATAACCTTATTTACCGTTGGCAAAAGAGCTGACACGTATTATGTGTAGAGAAAAAAATGCTAAACAGCTCGACCTGCTGCCCCCCTCCCCCTGAAAGACACAGTCATTCATAGAATTGTTTAAATGAAGGATTATATCAAAAGTACACTGATAGAGCGCGTTAAGATGAGCAGATGTTTTTCACTGCAATTAGATGAGTCTGTAGAGTCGATTTAGCCAATTTGCTTGTTTACGTTAGATACAAATTTGAGGGCATGTCCCATGAAGACTTTCTGTTCTGTAAATCGCTACCAACAGGAACTACAGGAGAGCACATATTTCAGCTTCTGAATGAATTTATCGAAGAGAATGGCCTCGACTGGATAAAATGCATCTGAGTTTGTACAGACGGTGCTAGAGCAATGACAAGCCGACATAACGGTGTAGTTGCACGAATTAGAGAGGTTGTTCCAGATATTAAGTGGACGCACTGCAGCATCCACTGCGAGGCCTTGGCAGTCAAGAAAATGCCTGAGGATTTAAAATCTGTTAGACTCTGTTGTGAATTGTATCAAGGCTCGAAAAATTAATTCACATCTGCTTTGCTCAACTAAACAGGCTCACCCCTCTCACTGAAATGGTGCTTTTTTATTTGTTGTTGTTAATTTTTTTTCTGTAAACACTTTGAGAAGCCACCTTTAAAGGCGCTATATCAAATTAAGTTTATTATTATAATATTTATTATATGTATGTGTGAGTGTGTGTGCACGCACGCTCATGTTGGTCATTGAGAATTTCTGGGGTTCCTATGAGATGATGACTTGTAGGTGTTACTTGGATGCTTTGGTTGGATTAGGGGTGGTACTTGGTCCAAAAAGTTTGAGTACCACTGTTCTATATATATTTCTCTTTCTTTACCTATGCTTACAATCCATTGTACTCAGTATTTTTTCCTTAAATTAGATACTGTTGTTTTTTGCTAACTTCATGAAGTGCTCTCTTTTACTGATTTTCCTAATGTATTTTTTTAACCATTTGGGAAATTGTTTTTTAGCTTATTATTTACTCAGTTTTGTAAAAAAAAATGTTCTGTGCTTCATGTAGTATGTGTTTAAACGGATTCTTCCTTTCCAGCTGTTTCCATGTATTTTCCACTGATTTCATATCATTCCTATCTCATTTTACTTCTCTTGTCTTATTCCTTCAAAATGTACTTTCTGGACATTGAAAACTGGTGGACTGAATCTTTACACTTTATACTTTAAAATATATTTCCAAGTACATCATATTATGATCATAATTCCCTAATAGTTCAGGTGGGTAGCTGTGTCAGCATGCGTAGTCTGCAAAGAAACAAGTAATAGGTTTATTCCATGCTGAAAAGAAGAGAGAAAACACAAAGTATTGGCTATGGAGCTTTCTTCATGTGTGAGAAAGACAGGGCAGACAGCAAAGATTAAATAACACAGAAGAACAAAAGCTGAAGGGGTGGGGGAGAGGTGAGAGGCAGAAGGGCCACTCAGGAAGTGCAAAGTGGAGAGGGGTGGGTGAAGGAAGGTGTAAAGTCAAAACCGGCATGAGAATAGATGCCGCCCAATCATCTCATACCGCCGACCACCAAATCTACGTAAACTTCTTGTTCACAGCTCTTGACCGCACTCAGCAATCATGGTCCCCACCAGGCATCTTCCCCTGCAACAGAACTTGCTGCATCACCTGCAAATACATATCTAACAACATGCTCATTCAGGGCTTCTAAGGTCAATTCTGGATCACCCACACGACATCATGTACCTCCAGCAACCTCATTTACTGTATCTCCTGCAAAAAATGCCAGCTATCTACGTTGGGGAAACCCGGAAAGAGACTAAGAGATTGCTTCAGAGAACATGTTAGGGCTGTGAAGAACAAAAATATCTCCAACCCCATAGTTTCCCATTTCACCTCAGACGGCCATGATCACACTGATCTCTCTGTCTTTGTTCTCAAAGAAGGGTTTCTCAACTCCCATAGCAGAAAAACAACAGAAACAAAACTCTTATTTTCATGTAATCATCTCTATTCTCATGCCGGTTTTGACTGCACACCTTTCTTCACCCCTCTCCACTTTGCACTTCCTGAGTGGCCTCTCTGCCTCTCCCTTCTCCCAGCTTTTGTTAAGATAAGATAACTTCTGTGCTATTTAATCTTGGCTGTCTGCCCTATCTTTCTCACACCTAGAGACGGCTTCACAGCCGAAACATTGTTTTCTCTGCTCTTTTTAACAGTTCCCCAATGTCTGTCTCACTTCTGCTTGCCTCCCTTGTCTTGATTGTTTCATATCTACCAAAACAGTTTGTGACGCTTATATTCCTATAGGTCTATAGGTACTGTATATGTTGGGGGAAATCTCCTCTAATAATTGCTTATTCTGTACCTGAATTCCTAATTTCATTATACAGTTTTGAATTATAATCAATGCCTACATCTGACATTCTATAATACAAACCTAAACTTTTTTTTTAGTTACAGTGCTTCACCTCCCCTTCTTCTATATATTCTGTCTCTCTAGAACATCATTTTCATGTAGCCAGGTTTCTGTGATTTCAATAACATTAAATTTTCTAAGCTAAAGTGGTAGCTTCTTTCTCTTCTAATTTGTTTCTGTTATTCTTAAGATTTAGGTGTAAGCACTTAAATACCCGATAATTTGTTGGTATTTTAACCTTCGTTTCTACCTTGGTCTTTGTTTCCAATGTAACTTTGTTTTTGCTTATCTTTTCTCTACCCTTTTTACTTTAAAGATTTCTGGATTTCTTATTGGGATCTTGTGCCACAATTTCCACAGTTAGCATTTCTTTTATTTATAGTTTATTTCTGGGATTGGTGCTCTTGAATGTTTCTAATCTCTGCCAATGCTAGGCTGCAAAAATAACTGTTTTGGGTGTAATTTTTTTTACACATATTTTATAAGCAGCATTTTTAAAAATGTGTTTCCTGATGGACAAAGGCCTGAGAGGAAATAGTGTGTGACTTCATCTAATACTTTTAGAAATAATCAAAGAAAAGCAATTAACCGTACTGTGATGAATGAGAATCTTGGGAATTTTTTGTTTTTCTCAGTAACTGTTTAATAATGCTTTCGATGTTTTTCACAAGATATGGTTTTTCTTATTAACATAAAATCTGATCATTTTGTTTTCTGTTCTTTTGTTCCATGTCCTTTACATGGATAAAAATTTTAGTTTTTAATTTCCAAACACAGCAGACTGGACTTTGATGAAAAAGGTCCTGTAAAATCTAACCAGTAATTTTTTTTTTTACTAATTTCCTTAGATCACCTTCAACTACTTTGATGTAGAGCAGCACCCACAGTGCTCATGGGACTCAGTAACGATAATGAATGGGGGTTCTCCAGGGTCACCTGTAATTGGACATTACTGTGGAACCAGTTCACCTGGAACTGTCCAATCAGGTTCCAACAACCTGGTCATTGTATTCATAGCAGACCACACTGTATCAAGAGGTGGCTTCTACGCCACATGGACTGCAGATTCCTCAGGTACAGTTATCTGTTGAATAGGTAACCCCTTACTTTGTCTCACAATGAGGTAGGCATACAATACTGCAAATAAAGACTGTATCCTGATGAAATACACTATTTGTGAGAGACTAAATTTTGTATCTTTGAAAGAAAAAACAGTCTGTCTCACATCATCATCCATCACTTTCCATAACTGTCTATACAGTGCAGGGTCATGGGGGCCTATAGTCTATCCCAGGAAGAGATGGGCACATGGAATACACCCTGAATGCGACACGACTGTGTCCATCACAGGGCATACACAGACACTCACTCCAAGAAGGTTTCCCCACAAGCCGATTAATGTACCAGCATGTCTTTGGACTCTGGGAGGAAACCAGAGCACGTGGAGGAAACCCACATGAACATGGGGAGAACATGCATATTCCATGCTGGCAGCACCGCAGGAATTGCACCCAGGCTGATGTTTGAATTATACATTTTTTGACAGTTTAATATAAAGAAAAATTTAAGAAAGGAAAATAATCTACAATCTAACACATTGTACAGGTAATATTATTTTATCACTAACACTGGCAGATTTAGCACTTGCCAGGGACTTGTTTTCCCAAAATAATCTATTATAATATAACTAAAATACCTTTTCTATTAGAGATTCTAATGCCAGTGGTACTGTTGCTAGTAATGGGTGGAGCATCCTGTTTTAGGTGTTTCTACTGACTTTGTCTGGAAAACAGGAATATGAATTTAAACAGCTAGTCTGTAAAAACAAATTAAAAACAGGTAATGTAATCCCTTAGCACAGTAATAAAATCATAATTACCCTTTATTTTAGTTAGAATAATTCCTCATTTAACCTCTAACAGTCATGATCATACTGATCTATCCGTCTGCGTCCTCATAGAGGGGATTCAGAACTCCTATTATGCCAGCAGCCATATCACCCTGCAACTCACAACTGGCAACCCACTGAAACTAAGCAGTTGTGAGCCTGGTCAGTACCTGGATGGGAGACCTCCTGGGAAAAACTAAGGTTGCTGCTAGAAGAGGTGTTATTGGGGCTAGCAGGGGCGTGCTCACCCTATGGTTTATGTGGGTCCTAATGCCCCAGTATAGTGATGGGGACACTGTACTGTAAACAGGCGCAGCCCTTCGGGTGAGACATAAAACCGAGGTCCTGACTCTCTGTGGTCATTAAAAATCCAGGGCCTTTCTCAAAAAGAGTAGGGGTGTAACCCCGGCGTCCTGGCCAAATTTCCCATTGGCCCTTACCAATCATGGCCTCCTAATAATCCCCATCTATGAATTGGCTTCATTACTCTGCTCTCCTCCCCACTGATAGCTGATGTATGGTGAGTGTTCTGGCACACTATGGCTGCCGTCACATCATTTGGATGATGCACATTGATGGTGGTGGAGCGGAGTCCCTTTTATCTGTAAAGCACTTTGAGTGGAGTGTCCAGAAAAGCACTATATAAGTGTAAGCAATTATTATTATTAAGATATCTGCCAGTTTCCCTCACTCCCTCATGCCTGAAGAAGGCTCCACAGCAGAAACATGTCTTTTTTTCTTTTCCTTCCAGCAATAAACCTTTGCAGCCTATGTATACTGACTACTTACTTGAACTTCATCACCCTTTATTTTAGTTTTCTTATTTCTAAGAATATAGAAGTACAAAATACTGATTTTCTGAATTATATGGAACATAGGAATAGACTATCCTCCTATGAGTCAAAATGTCAATAAAAATAAAAATAACCTGAATAGTTAAAAATCTATTAAGCGCTAGAGTATGGGTATTACTCCAGTGTCTTGGCCAAATTTCCCACAGCCTTTTTCCAATCATAGCCTCTTAATAATCCCCATCTACGAACTGGCTTAATCTCTTTGCTCTCCTCCCCACTGATAGCTGGTGTGGGGTGAGCGTACTGGTGCATCATCCAAGTGGTGCTACACACTGGTGGTGGAGAGGAGTCCCCATTACCTGTAAAACACTTCGAGTGGAGTGGATTGAAATGTTGATGATGATAATGATGATGATGATTAAAAAATTAGTCACTAAATGAAAAAAGACATAAACTAAATCTCTTAGACCCTCAGCTTCCTGTAACTTTATGATATGAGGATTTGTATAAGAGCTCTGACACAGTCTAATATCTTTGGTGCTGAACACTTTAATTACAAGAACACTAAATGTATGGTGGCTGCATATGAGTTTTATAAAATATTGTAGGATTCCTGAAAAAAAAAACAGAAATCCAAATGCAGAACATGACTGACCACTGGTGATTTAAGTGTAATTTGTGTTGCATAGGCTGTGGCGGTATCATCCATGCTGATAGTGGTAATATCAAGTCACCGGGGCACCCGCAGAACTTCCCAGCCAACAGCGAGTGCGTGTGGAGGATCATTGCTCATGAAGGAAACCACCTGGAGATGAACTTCAGCAGTGATTTTGAGATCCCTGACAGTGGCGGACAGTGTCAAAGCAGCTATGTGAAGGTATCTGCCCACTCTCAGGATGAGCTGCACATGTTCAACATAAAATGAAAACAATAATTGAAAGTATTTTAAAACTGCAATGTTAAAATTAATGTGAAAATTGCAGTTATGGTATTTGTACATTTGAGACATTGTCAGTTTTGAATGGATTTATTAATTTGTCCATCTGGATCAGAAATTAGCTTGTTTACTGCTTTCCAGAAAGATTTTGTTCCACAGATTTCAAGGCACACAAAAGAAAGGTAGGGAGGGAGGAATGGAATGATCTAGCATATACATGTATACAGAAGTACAGTAGTTCAGGTGGGTAGCTGCTTCAGCATGGGTTGGCTGCAAAGGAGCAAGTAATAGGTTTATTCCATGCTCAAATCAGTCCACACCCGAAGAAGGCTCCACAGCCGAAACATTGTGTTTTCTTTCTTCTGTTTTTAGCATGGAATAAAACTATTACTTATTCCTTTACACGTATACAGTGTGAAAATAATTGATCCACATCATAAAACAGACAGCTTTGTAAACTGAGTGGGTAGAGATTACACTATTTACTTACAATTCAGATTATATATTTATTTTATATTCAGATCAATCTGGTGTGTTTTTGTGACTCCTCTTTAACTGAAACAACCTATTAATGTGTCTGAGTGATACTGTGAATTCAGCCAATCAGATCTTTGGTCCAAATTCAAACATTGTCACATTTGTTGAATATAAACAATTCCAGTTCAATAGCAAAGGACTGAAGGTTCATATAAGTTTCTGGTTATTTACATGAATAAATCTTGTGTCTGTGTTGTCTCAGGTTTGGGCAGGAGGAGCAGATCAAGAAAACAGCCTGCTAGCCACAGGCTGTGGAACCACTGCCCCAGGATTGGTCGTTGCCCCATTTAATGTGATAACAGCCAGGTTCCAGTCCCAGGAGACCATAGGCAAAGGCTTCTCTGCCTTCTTCACCACTCGTATGTTTGCACTGCAGTGCCGTGGTTACTCTCAACTACTGTTATCTCCTCTGATAAGAACTACAATTTTTTTTAATTTGCCAAGAGAAGCCAGAAGAATATGATTTTCAGTTTTCAAATTAAATTTCCCTAGGAGAAATTTGGGCACAGATGAGAGGAGCTTATATTCACAGTGAAACCCTCTCCAAACAGCTACACAAATAATCCTCTTGGCCTACTTTAGAATCCTCTGTTTGTAGAGGGCATTTAGGCTTATTTGATTTGTCCCAATTTTATTTTAGTTAATGTCTTCGTTACTGGAGTTTGCAGTACCTGTCGTATTGAGTTTTTTCATGTTACTCATTGTTCTGCCAGTTCCTGCTAGTCTGCTGTCTGGTAGACTCGCATATTATACTGTAGATGAAGTGGAGTGTGTTCTGAAAGTGTACGTAAAACAGGTGTACTCAGATATTCTAAAATGACTTGTGTCTACTGTATGCTGATTACTCCTCTCCTGGTTTTCAGGCTGTGGAGCAAACTTCACTGCTCCAGAAGGTCGTATTGTATCTCCCAATTACCCAGAGCACTACCCTCATGACTCAAACTGCAACTATCTCATCAATGCTGGGCAGCAGAAAGTTGTCATTCTGCACTTTCAGACTTTCCAAGTGGAAGGTAGGTGTTTATGCACGTTTGTGAAAAGGCAGTAATGTCTGCCTTATGTTTTCTAAAGCAATGCATGTTGGACTATGTTGAAAAATGTCTGCTAAAAATATTGTTAGGAATATATGAGTAAGGAAATTGGAGAATTAGAAAATACATCAAATTTAGTGGGATAATCAGTAATTTAACTAATCATAACCCCAGAATTGCAAATTAAATGCCAAGACTATACCTGAGTGATTGGTATAGTTAGACACTTGATTCTCTATTCTCTGGCACAGAACTGACAAAGGAGTAATAAATAAAAGGCAAAATGAGATAAATATTTATTATCAACACAAACTAAATGACAGGCAATGTATAACATTTCAAGTTACTCTATTTACCCTATACAATGTGTCTCAGAAGCCTACGTCCTAAACAGCTAGAAAAACCTAGCCTGCTGTCCAATATTCAAAAATCCTATATAATGCCTAAAAGGGCAACAGGGGAGATAAACATGTGTCCTAAATAGAACAGAATACAACCCAGAGCTAATCTCTCTTCCCATAAATCCTGATGCTCCAAAGTGAATGGGACCCCTTCTCCCTACTCTAAAATGCATGCACTAACCAAGAGAGAACGTTTTTAATCTGGGGATTGTGGGGAAAAAAACATCAGAGTTTCCTAAAACAACAGAATGGTAAACTTTCTTAAAGAAGGTTCAAATATGTATCTAGAAACTGGTCTTTAAGGATGATTTGAATGTGGTGCTCTCACCTGGAACAGTTCTTCTCCTTTCTCACCTTTGTTCTGTAGTTCCACTCTCCGTCTGTCTCTTTTTTTCTGTCTCTTGCTTCCTCTGCCTACTTGTCTTTTTATCCCTATCATGGACTGCTGATGACTCTTAATGATTTACCTAGAGCCTAATTTTTAATTAAGGTAAACCAGATGATTATTTGATTAAATGTGTTGCAGACCCACTTCAGCTCAGCAAACGCCTCACCTTCCATGTATTGTTTTTACTCACTTTGAAACCCAGAGAACTACAAATGTTGATACAACTAGAAGTTGACCATTGTCTCTAGATCCTGAGACACCACAATAGCTATAACAATATCTCAGGGTTAAAAAACAATCCTCCCAGTTTAATGAAGATGATGATAACACGAGCAACCAAACAATACAAATCCAGCCAAGAAGTTTCATATTTGTTTTTCCAAAGAGGAATATTGTACCTTACAGATAATTTTCTATAAATTTAAATATATATACTTTATTTTGTTTGATTCATGAATGACTTTCATTTTGGGTAAAGAATTAAAAAATGTAGAATTTTATTATAATAAATTATTTTTAATTACAAGAATAATTTGTATCATAGACATATTATGGTAGATATAATGCACATAAAGAAAGAGTAAACTAAGTTTGATACATTCTATATAATTTCTGCAGTGTTAAATGAATGGCAGTTTATTTCCAAAGAAGATTTATGCTGGTGTTTGACTTTTTTGAAAATTGAAAATATTTCACAAAAATCTGTTGTTACTCATATATATTTAGGGGAGACAGAATGATGCTTCATTTTTTTATTTTTATAGCACTCCTTTTCTATAATATGTCAGGAGGCTGTAAAACCCTGAAGAGAATTTCTTTGGATGTAAATCCTTCACGAATAAGGAACATGTTCAATGTGGAGAGAGGATGCATTGTCTGATTTGTGAAACATTTCTTAGAGCTCTTGTCAGAGCTGTGTGTATTATACAGGACATCTTTCCTACTTAGATTGCATTAACATAATGAATTAAATAATGTATGCCTGAAGTAGATTTATGAACAGATACATGAACAGTGTTGATTAAATTAAATTTTATTTAATAAGCAGAACCACAGAAGGAGGGCATTGAATGTAGGAAAATATGTTTTTGGGGGGATGGGGGTTAAAATCTAAAGAATTAAATAAAGTAGATTTTTAACATGTGATCACAATGAAGATGATAATGGAACAGAAGGCTTTTTAATGATATTAAGTTTAAAAGAAGGAACTTTTCTCTTTAGCAATGTATTTTCTTTTTAAAAGCACTTAAAGGAACAACAAGAAATTATAATAATAATTTAAGTTATGAGGATTTCCTGACAGTAAATGGTTATCAGTTATCATGAAAATGGATGATATTGTACCTCCTGGCTACTCTTCAGAAGAACTTCTCAAAGGATATTTGTTCAATGTTCAATGTAGGCAAATATCCTTTGACAAGTTAAATAGGCCTACAGTTGCTGGTATAGCTGGGGGTTGGTACAAAGACCATTTTGATCATTGTAAAAGTTTGTACTTTCAAACAAATAAATCTTTGAGGTGTTTTCAGGGCTGATATTCTGGTACAGAGGGCAGACCTCTAGTTCTTTAGTTCTGTTTTTTTGTCCAAATAAGCTTACATTACATAATTGAACTAGTTATTTTCTTAATCATACAAGTTAAGCCCTTTCCTGTGTTTTTTTTGGCAGCTGGTGATTCTTAAAGTGGTTCAGTTAAACTTAAATCAAGGCCAAATAATCTCTTCACAGAACTCTCCACATTTCTCAAATCATTTTTTTTCTGAGGGTCAAGCCTTTGGGACCTTCAGAATGAGAAGGATTAAGGCATCTTATTTCTGTCACATGTATTTGGATCAGATATGAGTTAATCAAAAGCATATGGTGTGAATATTAAGAACTTACAATATGGTAAAAATGTGTGTGTTGATTAAAAAGAAAAGGATATTGAACAAATCGTCGTGGATGTTTTATTAAGAATTTAATCAGGAAATGTGTATCATAATAAGATTACTTTTAAATCTCACTGAAATCCTGATACAAGTGAACCTTTTGAGGTCTAGATGCTGCTTGACTTGCTTTATTAAGAATATTTCAGTAGGGGACTGGATATAAAAATGTGCACCTAAGTGCCTGTAAATGTGGCTGTTTCACAAACAGAACATATTGTGCTGTGATGCTGGTAAAACAGAAACAGCAATACACAAACTTGCATTACAATCCACAGAATTATACTTTTTTCTTGAAAGGGGCGAAAGTTTTACAAGACTTCTTCAGTTTTTTTTCTATCATCTTCAAGACAATGTAAGAAATATATTTTGTATTCAGAAAAATAATACAATAATCATTCAGAAAAACTTACAAGGGCCATGAAGCAAAAAGTGTGAGTGCAAGAGTGTTCATACACTCCCTAGTTTACGTAGCGGTTTGATTCCACAATTATTTACCAGACCTGATTTTGGAGACTGGAGATTGTATGCAATCTCTTTGGCTGTTATTTTAGTGTTTTATTTCACAGCTCCAATGATTTTTCTGTCATCAACTGCTGTTGTCTTGCTTGGATGACCTGGTCTTTTCCGTTTGCTTATTCCTCCGGTATTTTTTTCAAGACCTTCCAGTCGGTCTGCAATGGTTCTTAATTCGAATTTTCTTTACTTTCATCCTCAAAATTCATTGCTTTTCCATCATTGAAACTCTCTAGTCTTCTTTGCTTATGCCTTCTAATTCAAGAGGCAAATCCAAAAAGTAAACTCCAAAAGACTGAAACCAATGCTGTATAGCTGCTCTTTTATGTTTTCGCAATTAATGCATCATGGTATCACATCTTTTGATGTGAAAGGAACAGGTAACGGGTTTATTCCATGCTGAAAAGAAAAGAAAGGCCATCCTCTAAATCTTTTTCTAGATCTCTTCGTCGTTCCTTCTCCTCCTCCCTGGGCCACTTGCCCCCCTCTCTTACTAAACCCGCTTTTGCACCTCTTCACAGCGATCTGGTCCAAGAACAGGCTTTCCAACCACCTCCTTTTCCTTTACAGATGTCGTCATCACAATATCATTCCCAAAGGATTTCACCTAAAATTTGACACTTTTTCCTTTGACTCTGGTAATACTCAGAGACTTCTACAACAGTGTTTGTGGAAACTGATGCTTTCTACCATTTATTCCCTCCAACAACAGATTACCCTTTGCAACAATAACATCAGAGTCCTTTCTTTTCTTTTCAGCATGGAATAAACCCGTTACCTGTTCCTTTGCAGCCTATGCATGCTGACGCAGCTACCCACAGTACTTGAACTACTTCTGATGTGAAATACAATTATCACTTCACTGATCCAATACATAAGTTTTCACTGTGCACTTTAAGTATGCATACAATGGCCAGAATTTCTATTAGGTCTGGTGTGTTTTTCATCTTTTAGTCAAGGCCACCAGTCTTTCCTGGTGGAAACAGTAGGGCAGGTGCCAGTCAAAAAAGACTGAATTACCATACTGTTTGTCTAGACTCTCTTTAATTACCACACAGTCAGTGGTGATGTAGGTTTGAGGAACAGGCTTAAGCAGACCTGCGTCCTGGAGACAGAGAGGAAGCACAAGGTAAAGGGAAGAAGGGTCAATGCATTGTTATACCTACACCCAGTCAACTGCATACAATCATTTCATTATTTAGCCCCTACTTGTTAGTTTTGGCTACTCTGGCTACAACCCCTTGATCGCCTGAACACTTCTGCTCTTGATTTTAGACCTGGAGCTCCGGCTGGAAAGGGGATATATAAGTCATGACCAGAGCTGCTCAAAGTGGAAGGATTTAGGACACAGATTTTGCAACACAGGAGAGGACTCATAGAGGAGTGGGGACTCAACAAAGAGCAGCAGTGTTACTTGGTATAGAGAGGCAGGGTAGGGGGAGTATAATGAGACATATTGTTTGGGACTGTTGGGTCTGAAGAGAATGTCATGGACAATCAAAGGACTACAGTATATGGAGTTTTGTTCTTCTTTTGGTGTTGTGGCAGGAGCTATGCCAAGACATAGGACAGACCTGATTTCAGAATAGTAATGCCTTTTTTTTCTGAACTTTAAAGTAAATTAATATTAGAAACATTTGTGTTTTATTACAGTAGTTTTAGTGCCGTACAAATATGAACACTGAATTTTAGCAAGCATAATTAAAATCTTATAGCTTATATTTTCAGTAAAGATGAGTATAAAAAGAGGGTGTTAAAAACATCCCAGCCCTTATAAAAATTTGTATTTAACTTTTCTGTGTTTTTGTAGCCCAGTCAACATGTGCCTATGACGGCCTAAAGATCTACAGTGGAACCTTCCCCACAGCCCCTCTGCTGACAACTCTGTGTGGTTCTGAGATACCAGGTCCTTTCACTACATTTGGCCCAATGCTGTTGAATTTCTACTCTGACAACAGTATTAATGATAATGGCTTCCTGGCTCAATATGAAGTGGTCTGTAAGTATTTGCTAACTCAATTTTTACTTCTCATTCTCATTATAGAAAAATATAAAATACACAGGAAAGCCCTGTGTACCAAACTGTGAAGAAGCTTCAGTATTTTTTGTCTGGACTGTTTAATGATATTAGATCTATAACATGCTTTGAAGAAGCTGAGAATGTGATCTCTGTAAAATGTATCTGCTCATTCTCCCTGGAATTTGATGACCTGAGAGGGTGACAGCTTCACAACACGCCTCTCACAGGCTAATCCCTTGAGTTCAGGGAGTGCACTTCTGTTCTTTACACTACTCTGTTCACTGCTGCAACAAAACTTAAAGGTCCCAATGTTCAAGTAACTCTGCTATAAACTGCAACCTGTTTCAGAATCAAATATATGCATGTACATATTTCATGCAGAATACTCCAGACAGACCATTTTATGAAGTCTCTTTCTTATTATCAAACTTCTTTACCCATCTTATATTTAAACATCCTACATTGTGAACGAAAAGCCTCTCAAATTATTATTTTTTTTAATAGTAGTAGTAGTAGTAATACTTATGAAGGTATAGTGCCTTTTTGCTAATATTTCAATTCAAAGAATTCAGATATGTGCAGAAATCACAAGATTATTTATCTTAGTTCTTCAAAATGTTGCGTTTATTCCAATGATATTCCAATGAGGTTTTTTATTTCCTTGACATTATTGTTCCAATGGTACATGTATTATTTATCTATAGGAAATATCAGTTGGATCCTGTGAATTGGCAGCCTTCTTGTCAATAAAGTGATTTTTATTTAGGGGCAAATTTATGGAACTTGGTTGGTGTGGTAAATGGAGAAAATGAAAATATTTAGATATGATAAATAAAACAGTGGACCTTGCACTGTATGGAAGGATGCTAGTTCTAATGAGAGACTAGGTGGGCCTTTAACCCCATGAGTCAAATGAGAGGTTTCTACAAGCACAATAAAAGTCATTATGACATGCACGTTCAGATTTTCAGATTCTCTACCTCCACTCCTTATGTTTACTATATGAGACTCCAACATCCATTAAATGACTGGTAATGATAGGAAAAGCTCATTGGAATTCAAAATTGTAGAAGTGTAGAATTCAAAATGTATTATAGAGATTTATTTTTATTTAATATAAAACAATGGTAATACTGTATGTCTGACCTGAAATGTTTTAATAATCTCCTGTTGTCTCTGAGTTTTCTGCTGCATCTGCAGTGTCATTCCAGATTTACTGAGGACAATTTATCCCATGAACTCCAACATATGTTTCCTTGTCCTCAATTGCCCCTAAAGTGCAAGTTATTATATTCAATATACTGTATGTGTATATCTTCCCCTTCTTTAGAAAGTACTTCAGAATTAAAAGGCAAAACATTTTAAAAATATAGGAACTTCTTCATTGCAGGACATTCAGAAATGACAGATTTAAAGAATTTATCTGTCTGGGAATTTCCATGTTTTGTTCAGGCTTCTTTGTTGATGAGTGACAGAGAGTGTCTGAGTTCCCATTGAGCTTCTGTGGAATTCAGAGAATGAGAGACCCTGCAATTCAGCACAATCAGGGGGATTCTGTTCCTGTCTGTGTCAGGGGCGAGGCTTTGGCTTGTGGTGCCACAGAATGCCAGAGGACGCCCTTGGCACATTTTTCTGCTGAATGGTTTCTATATATAATCCAAGCCTGACAATAGTGCCATTTCACTGGGGTGATGACTCATCCTCACTGTTAAAATCTACCAGACACACAGTCTTGTGAAATGATAAAACCAAGAACATTGCCCATTGCTGGTGTGAAACACATGAAAAACATGATTTTCACACTTTTTGTAAAATTGGAACAATTTTGTAAAATAGTAGAAAAATTACTTGAATTGATTTTACTGATGTGCAATAAAAAGAGGCATAGCTGACATATTGCCTTCGCATCAAAATATACTGTTTAGACATTAGCTCAAAGAGGTTTAAAACACAATGTTGTAGGTTCAAAATACTGAAATAATGTATGCTGGTTGATTTTTGTTTTTCATAAAATATTGCTGACATGGGACAGCACAATGGCACAGTGGTCAGCATTGCTGCTTCACTTTACTGAAGCCCTGGGTTCAATTCCTGGCGTGCTACCTGCGTGGAGTTTGTATGTTCTGTCCGTGTTAGCATGGCTTTTGTCTCGGTGCTCTGGGTGCTTTCCACTGTCCAAAGACATGCTATAGGTTAGGCAAAAAATGTTTGAATTTGGGGAATTTAATGCTTACTGTCCACCAATCCTTCATTATATACAGTTACATGGATTACAGGGAGCTTTTAATCGTAAATGATTAAACAATAAGGTATAATACCTTAGGCGAACCACTGGGCTGGCCTTCATGTTTCCTAATATCCTTTTCTTTCTTCCAGCCTGTGGTGGTGTCTTCAACAACAGTGCCGGTACAGTCAGTAGTCCAACTCTCTCTATTACAAATTACCACAACAATATGAACTGTACCTACCACATCATTGTGAGCCAGGACCGGGTAGTGGAGCTAAAGTAAGTTTGCAGTTTTCTGTTCTTTAGTGCCAGAAATAATCTTTTGTGTTAACGTACATTTTCCATCTTGGTAGGAGCACTTGACTGGCAAAGATGCAACAGAGTCTTCTTGAGTCAGCTACTTCTCCGATATCATTAAGAACAACCATAACAATTCTAGACTCCTGTAATCCACCAGCGACAGACAGCTAAAGCCAAAGTGCCCCACCACTTTACCTGCTTCATCCCAACTTTACAAAACATTTTTTGTGTTTTTTAGCTCCAAGATTGACAACATCTGCCATCACTTTCTCTCCACAATACATTTTCACACCACATCTCCTCCCTGCTTGCCTAGGTTTGCTGGTTCCCTTCTGTCTAGCTTCTCTATTCTTGACGCTGCATAAAGTAAATTGGTAATGTGTATGAAATCCACCACATGTCTGTTAGATCCCATGCCTACTGCTTTATTTCAGTCCTGTTTCTCTACTCTCTGCTTTGCTGTTCTCATCATAATAAATAAGTCCTTGTGTACTGGTGTAGTACCAATTACCCAGCTGCAGTTACTCCTGTGCCAAAAAAAAATGTTTTTGGTCTTTCTCCTGTCTGTCCTCCAAGCACGTCTACATTATATGGCTGACAGGGCCTTTTCCTGCTATGCCCCTAATCTCTAGAATCCTATCTCTAAGGTTGTATGAGAATTACCTTCCCTGTGTACTTTCAAATCTAGATTTAAAACCTTCTTCTTTAAGAGAGTCTTTATTTAACAGTTTCTGTGTCTACCCCTTTGCTTTCCTACTCTATTCTGAATGCTTATTGTACTATAATTGTGTAATTCTGCTGTCTCCTCTAATTGTGTACCCTTTTTTTCTTACTATTAAGCACTTTGAGAAGCTATATAACAAAAATGTTTATAAAAAATAATACATTAAAATAATATCTGTATGGAATATATGGTTTGAATCATAATTTAGCAATTGCAAAGTTGGAAAGAAGAACCATGTAAACTGACTTCAAATATTTGTGTATTTTTGGTCAAGATAGATGACAGTTCATTATTAGAACACTGCTAAGAAAATAAGAAGTATATATTGCCATGAAAATATTTTGTTTGCTCTTGCTCATTTTTCTCTTTTAGCCATGCTCTATTTGCACAAAAATCTATAGCTGTAGAAAATTATGTTCACACCTAATGTGTTAAACAGATTCACTGATTTAATGTCATAAATAAAGATTTCATGGTCAACAATTGTGTCAATAATACCTCTTCTAAGTGTATTGAATGCTCATTCACCCTAGCAAGAAGTAGTTTAGGTGTTCTAGTTAATTAACCATTTTAGGATTAGCAATGCCAATGTTTATCTGAGCAACAGCTTCATACAATACCAGTTTCAGTTCTTAATTTGTGGAGCCACAAGCCTATCGCCATGGTTTTGTAATCGCGGTAGTCTTTAACAAGACCTGTAAAATGGGAAGTGCCAGGCTGACTGGAGAGGCCAGCAGTTTTCAGCAGCACATTGGGGACTAGACAACTGTCTAGACACTCGCCCCCCATCTCTCAAACCAGAGCACAAGGCCACACTGGCAATATTAGCCCTGTGGGTGTCTCCACACAAAGAACCACAGAGTACTGTTTGAGTCTCTTGGCAACTGGCAATGTGATGCTGCTGTCTGGCTGCAGTCCAGCTGTAGATGAAGCTCTTCCTTGTAAAGAGCTGACGCTTTAGCACACCCCTTTAGTAGTTAATTTTTCTATTATTGTATGAAATTATAAAGTTGGACATTTTTTTTACTTCCTAAGTTGCAGATATAAATCATTTCTGGATGTATTACAGGTTAAAATACATTTTTTATGAGAATTATTTGAAGCATTGTAAACTTCAATGTTGCTTGCATATCACTTCCATTATAACATTTACAAGTATGAGTAAATGTTTTAGGTATAATTCGGGTCCTAAGATTTTTATCCTTCAGGATTTCTCCTAGACATAAAGTTTTTTTCTTCTGAAGTTATCAAATTTACCAGCTATGCCATCTGTTTCCTTCTCAAGTTGTTACATACAATCTTTAGCCGTGCACGGTGGAAAAAGTGAGGTGCTTTGTGTTTGTGCATTGTGTCTTTCAGAAGAGTATTTCCTGCTGGGAATTTACATTACCCCCACTATGCATATTATAAGATGTTGTTCCATTGTTTCTTCTTTGCAGATTCAACACTTTCCATCTGGAAGCCTCATCCAACTGCAGATATGACTATGTGGCAGTCTATAATGGGAATGACTCCAATGCTTCTTTGCTGGGAAGGTTTTGTGGCAGGGAACTCCCCCTTACTCTCAGGTCTTCCTTCAACCATCTTTTTATAATGTTCATAACTGACTTCTCTATTGGGGCTGGAGGCTGGAGAGCAACCTACAGAGAGACCTTAGGTATGTGTTCACTTTGTTCTGACTCTGCTTTTGCTGGGTGGAGCTGGCATTACCACCTTATATCCTGATCTCATTAGATCTCAGAAACTAAATAAGATTAGGCTTAGCCAGCACTCTGATGGGATACCTACAAAAAATAGGTTTAAAGAAACCAGGTAATTTCTAAAAGGTGTCCAGCATTTGGACCTCAAACATTTGGCTGGGAAGCTTGTTCCAGATACTCGCTAATGTTTGTGTAAAGAAGTGTTTCTTATTCCCCTTCAATTTCCAGATGTGACCCCATATTCTTGTTTGACTAGGACACTAACATTCTCCGAACCTGTACCCTTTTGTATTTAGTATATATTTAGTATTGATCAAATCTCCTCTTTTCTAGATTGAAGAGATTTAATTCCCTTGACATGTCTATATACAAGACCATTTCAGCTTTTCTGTTTTCTGTGGTATGGTGGCCTAAATGGAACATAGTGGATGAGGTATTACTAGTTAATTACAGAGTTTAAGCATGATTTGCCTTGATTTAAACTCCATGCTTTTTATGTTCTTAAGTATTCTGTTGCCTTTTTATTGCTTCCCCACATTGTCTCAATGAAAACATAGAAGAATATACATATACACTCAGATCCCTTTTGTGTGTAACATCCTGCATCCTTCGCACTGAACAGTACTGAATTTCAATTGCCAAGTGTCAGCCCCAATCCAAGATATCATCTTTTGGAACTACCTTACTACTGTTTCTGTTTGTACCTCCATCTGTTTTACTGTCATCAGGATATTTGAGTAGCTTGCTAATTGTATCAGAATTGTATACAGTAGATCGGGAAGATCAAAGAGTCTAAAATTGATCCTTGTGATAGATCACTGCTAACATCAGCCCAGGTAGAGATTATTGCCTCTTATAATAAATTCACTTTTTGCTGTTCAGTAACCAGTTCTTGATCAATTTATATACATACTTGTACATCAGTTACTCTACACATATGCTAACCCAATATATCCATGAGTCTCTGGTTCAGGTGCAAGCAGAACTTCTTGTACAGGACCTACCTGTTTCTGAAAGGATCCTCAATACCCCAAAAACCTACAGTAAATCCTACCTTTCTGCACCAGTCCTGTATGGTGTGCATAGTTTTCTTTGCCTGCTGGTGCTACCTACAGTCACCTACCTTTCTCTGTCTCTTTTCTGAAGACTTCTGCCTCCCTGCTCATACAGTAGTGTGCACAGTCTCACTGAAGGGTATGTCCTCTGGTTTCTGTGACTCGACTAAATCTGAGTAGCACCAAGCTGGGTCTTAGACCTACGGATCTCGGACTCATGACCGCACAGACGTATTCTCTCTGGATGTGTGGCAAGAAAGACAATCATCCTGCTCAACCCAAGACAAAGAGAGGGGCTTAAGTATTAAGATTGTTTTTTTTTTGTGAATAATTATGTTTTTATGTACATAACTTTTATTATATACTTTTATATGTACACCAAGTTTTATTATATGCTGAGTTTGCAAGAAATGTTTGAGAAAAAGTAAAGAATTAGAGAAAATAAACACATAATTACTTCTGACTGCCAACCCATTTCCCAAAAAAGTTGTTGTTCCTAAGGAGGCATAAATGCCAGCAAAATAGAAAGAACTGTTCTTTTTCAAACTTTTTATCCCTGAAAATGTATTAATCTGAAAGATCTACTTAAAGTAGTGTTGATGTTACAGAATATCCTTGTTCTTGAAATGATAGGCAAAAAAGTAGCAACATCTGGAGATATTTAACACAAGTAGAATAGAATACAAAGACTCTAATGAATTCTGGTTTTCACAAAAGAAACATGGTCAACAAAATGTTTATAAAATCTGCAATTTTATAATTATGTATTGGATACCAGATGTTTCAAAGTTACTATAAAAAGCACTAGCCTGTAATTCCCGGGATTTCCTGGGTGCTCTATCAGTGTGTGGATAACTTAGCATCTGGCTCAAGAAACGAAGGAACTGGCTCTGGATTCACTGGCAAATAGGATTAAAACCTTTTCAATTCAAGAAGTGAAGTCTCATTATAAATGGGTTGTCATATAGTAGTCCCCTCAAGTTTATCTACATTTCTATATCTGCACTGCTTTATAGGGCAGCAAGGACACACCCCACTGAATTTCCAGACATTTCTCTCAAATTTTCCTCACTCGCTCTCCGTCCAGTCTCAAACTGTGCTACGTGTTTCAATCTACAGTGGTTATGACAAACTGAGGGAGGGCATATTTGTTGTATGACTCATAGCCGTCCACAGCCAATTACTGACTTCCATGTGGTGTGGCTTGAAAAGAAGGATTTTTTTCATCATAATTAAAAAAAGACATTGACTTCTTTGCTTGCTGCCAAGATTCACATTCCCATGGGTCCTACTGCAGATTAAAAGTGTGTTCTTTGTGCTTATGAAACACCAGTTAGAAGAATATAATTCCTTTCAAAGCCTTTCAAAGATAAAACCAAAAGAAAATTGTTTCAAAGCATTCATCCCATGCCATCTGGCTAAAGATGATATACCTTTAAATTCTGTTCCAGTCTTTAAATCCAAAAAGAAAAAGGTTTGTCACTGTTACAAAACCAACAGCTGATGCAATTGCCTGCCATCAGTATTCCTTATCCAATTTTTCACTAGGTTAAGGGTTTTGCACTTTATTTAGAGAGGACTGTCCTTATTGAAATTAGTGTCAGCTTAATAATTTTTGTAGTATTACTAATAATTATGAAGTTGTAAAACAAGCCATCTATGTGTTAGGAACCAAAGATTTAATAATTTAATAGTGTCAGACAGACAAATGTATAGGCTAACTTCAATATAAACTTTAGTGCCTAATAAGTGGTCTCCAAGATGGAGGGCTTTGGCTGGGAATGTTTAAAAACAGTGGAAGAAAAAGAAGGTGTCTTATACATGTTGTAGGATACTTCCCCTCCCATATCCACCCATTACTCATGTAGAACAAACAGAAAATCCAAATGGAAAAGATGATCAAATGACAGGAAATCCTCTGAAATTCCATAATGTCCAGTACAGTGTAGGAAGATATTATGGGAAAGTTTTCTTTCTCAATTACTTTTTTTTTGTTGGTAGTAGTATTTCAAAATTCCTTAAGCAATTGGAGGAATGATGTACAGTAGTTCTCACCTACAGCACTGCAACCTCACAGTAGTCAAGGATAATGTATCCCAGATTCAATCCAGCAATCCAGCATTGAGATATTGAGATTCTAAGTGTTTCTGAATGTTTTTGTGTTTAATAAGCCACTGAACGGAGGACAAAACCTCAGAACGTCTTTGTAGTAATACTGTCACATTTGCCAAAATTATAAGAGAAAGAAGAAAGAGGTGTTCAGTTAGAAAAGGAGACAGGTGGCACCTGGGGGTGATCTTTGTTATACAGCTTTTCTATGTGCAGCCAAAAGAGCTAATGATCTCAGAGATTAGAAAGCTAGATAGTAGGCAAATTAATTTGTGTTAATTTGCAGAACCCAAGATCCTAGACTCCCTGCTTCTTGTGAAATTAACATTTTCAGTTTTAATGACTCTTTTCCCATGGGTTGGGATCTAAGCCCTTGGCTACTCTGAAATGTTCAACTAAAAGAAACATGGCCAAAAGAATGACTGAATCAACTTAACCCTGTCTCCTAAAATTGTAGGAATTCATACTGCATAGATGTGCAATACTGTTCAGTTTGTCTTGTACCTTTTATCCTTATCTCATGTCAAATCAAGACCACAGTAAACCTTTCTTTAAACATCTAATATAAAAATAATTAGCTTAAGATAGGTATGTATCATCTAATGAAAATTAAATTTGTGTAATTAACATTAATGAGTTAAACGAGCTAAACACACTCGAAGTATCACTGGATAAATGGTGGAATGCTGAATCTGGTGCCATGTATTTATGGCCATGTAATGAAGTGCACAATAAATCACATGCACTCCAATGGCACTTACAACATGGAAATGCTAGTGAAATGGATTGCCTGGTGTGTCTCATTGTGTTACTATCTCCTGGGGCTCTTTGTGTATTTTTGATGCATTTTCTTTTTTATTGTTTTCTGCAGTAGATGGGTTTAATGAAATGGCATAAATTACAAATTGGTCATCCTCTCTGATGTGGATGCTTTCTTCCAGGGTGCATTGTAGTAGCATGATTGCCTGGTTTTGTCTATATTTCCTGACAGGTCTCTTACGAGCAAAGGCAGATGCTGGACTGGGTTTTGCAGTTAGCCTTGTACAAAGCAGCAACAATATGTTTTTGAGGAAGTTAAAATGTCTTTGTATCCAGGAGCAGAGCAGAAAGTCGGCCTCTTGACCCATCTTTTTCATTTGGTTAAGGTTAGTCATACATACTGTACAGTGGTAGTGATGCGGCAAAAGTGATTAAGTCCCAGAGTGGTTAGTGTTCTGCGTTCTGGCCCATGGGGCTGTGGTTTCAGCTTCTAGGTAGGATGCAGGTGTTGTGTCGGATGTTTTACTGAGTTTGCTCCACCCAACTGCTTGCTGTATACAGTGGAATAATGAATGTGGAATATATTTCTCAAAGTTTTTAGTTGGGGTTTATTTTTGATCTTCCAGTACTCCATCAAGTCACAATCAGTTATCATCATATATGCCAAATAAGAAACTCAGTTTTTCTGCTTTTTATGTAAGAAAAGGTTGTTCTCTGGATTACAGGTAGAAATCTCAATTTAAATAGCTTTGTTTCACAGTATTTTCTTAGTAAGTTTTGGATTTTCTTAATTTCACAGCCTTTCACAACAAAATTGTTTCCTCCTCTAGCTGTGTCCTCATGTCACAGTGAGATGTAATGCACATTCAGTGGCTGCTCCTTTAAAGCTCTACAGTTCTTTTGTTCAAAGTCAGTAGTGGACTGAAGCTACATCTGTCTCCAGCTGGCTTAAAGTTTATTGGCTCACTAGACAGAGAAAATAAAATTGCTGAACAGATTAGGGTGAGAATTTTTATTGCAGTTGCAACAGCATTTTTTTAACAGTCTGAAATGATGCACTGTGTACGACATGTAGCAGATGAATGCATTAACTCTTAATGCTACCCTCTCATTCTCTGCATGCTGGTTCCCTTAGGTCATATTCAGCAACTGAGAAAATAATCGAAGGCGTCTTACAGCTAAATGTTATTCAGCAGATATATACTGGTATGTGCTATGATTATAAGCAAATATGAGCAGGGCACTTCTGTGGAGGCTACTGTGGAGAAACAACAAGAATGGGAATTTGAGTCACATCTAGGTTTGGGGAACAGCAATTTGTAGCTTCAATGTAAGACATAAAACAGACATAAGCCCCAAGAACACACCTCCTGCAAGAACTTAAGATACAGATTTAAAGTGATTTCATATGCTTTATAAACTATTTTTTTAAGTTAGGATTGTATAAAAATATATAAAATTATCAATCAAGATATTTTATAATCAACATGGTGAAGTGTAACTATATTTATCACAGTCCCACTAATTGTTTTTTTTCCATTGTCATGTAATGAATTATATTTGCTTATGTTTTATCTAGAATAATATTCAATTGTATTTGCACAAACATGCAGAATTGTGTGATTAGGTTAAAATCTTTAAGCCCATTTTCATGTTTTTTTTTGTCAGTTTTCATTTTGATTTCAATTTTCACTGTTATTTTGTTTGAGAGGAGTATTTCTTTTTTTCAAGATTAAAAGGTTAAACTCAAGATCAAGGTTAAAAAAATACATTACAAATGTAAATGGAATGTATGTTAAATGTAGGGTACATTTACAACAGACAGAAAATCAGAATAGCTCTGCAGTCTATTTGATCATTTCTGTACTTTACGGTACTGGGCTGCAGATGCACTCTTGCAAACATGAGGTCTGACTTTTCTGCCAATGTCTGAATTTGCAGGTTTGTCTAATTAGGCTATTTAACATTTAATTGTTTTCTTCAGCCATTAGAACAAAGAAAAGAATAAGAAAAAGCTTTTGCAACCTTAAAATCTTTTCAGAATGCTAGGGAGCCTTGATATTTTATACTATAGTGTAATATAGAAGAAAGAAAACACAACGTTTCGGCTGCGAAACCCTCTCTAGGTGTGTGATGAAGCCTTCTTCACATACCTGAAGAAGGCTTCACAGCCAAAACCTTGTGTTTTCTCTCTTCTCTTTTCAGTGTGGAATAAACCTATTACTTGTTCCTTTGCACACTACGCATGTTGACGCAACTAACCACCTGAACTTGAATATAGATGTCTTGTATGTAGCCAGGACATGGAGTTGAACATTCCAGCTCTTTCAAAAAGTTCCATGGGATCTTTAATGACCAAGAAGTCGGGTTTTCCTTTAACATCTCATTCCAAATTACAGCTCCTTTTGCTCCACAGAGTGCCTGATCACCACACAGGGCCACTGCCTTAGAAACACTGGTCTAGGTTAATGAGTGCCACCTTCTGGCCCTCCAACATCATTTGCTGCAGCAAATAGGTTTTCCTCAGGGTTCTCCCATTCCATTACTTACCAATCCAGCCTTATTTACTGATAAGGTCTCATGAGATCAGGCTACAGAGTGGTAACATTTCTGTAATTGAGTTGTAATATGTTAACATATGTCTACAGAATATGTAAATATTGTATGATATGCCTTTGTTGTAAATGTCTGTAAATTTCTGTAGATTTTCTTATGTTAATTTTATTTGCTTTGGTGTGATGTCCATTGATTTTACTCTTATAAAAATCTTGAATTAAATTGTAATAAAAAGTCCTGCTTCAGGACTGAAAACAGCAATAGTTGTGCCTTGCTCTGCATTGCCCTCATTATGCTGCTGAATTCCTGAAGCACCACTGTCCCCTTGTGGGTGTGCTGGAGACCTACAGAACTTAGAAAATGTTATGTGGAAAATATGGAAAGTTGTAACACACTAACAAAATTAATCAAAAGTTAATTTTGAGGCTCACAATGACTGAAAAGTAAAATAAAGTGCCTTCTTGAATTTGTTTTATTAGGAAAGGTGTTTTGATGAGAATGGTGAAGCCCATTCTGTCCATTCTTACCATTCTGTGTAAACATTGTGTTGAGAAATTAAATGTGGTTAGGGTAGTACTTTGTTCCTTCAGAGTGGTATTCTCAATAATCAAGGTATGCACAGGGCAAGAGTGTTTACAACTATAAAATACTTGGTAGAGGACACGCGAATGAGTTGTGATAATGAATGTTGAATTGTAACTATGAGCACAGCATACATGGTGTCTAAATGAAAATGAGTTTTGTTGATGATTGGTGTGCTGCAAAAGGCTTTGTGGGCTTTATGTTCAGCCTGTTCTTTTGAACTGGCAGTGTATGTCAAGAGATGTGGACTTGAAGTTCTCACCTGCCTCCTCTTATCCATTTCCTGTTCAGGACCACAGCAGGGCTGTGGGGGATACCTCACCAGTCTCACTGGCATGTTTGGCTCCCCTGATATTAACTATGATGGCAAGTATGAGGCTGGACTGGACTGCCTTTGGAACATTGTAGTGCCTCCCAACAAGGTGGTCAACTTGACTTTCACTTCCTTCCACCTGGAATCGCCATCGGGAACCTCCTGCAGATATGACTACGTGAAGGTAAGGAAATGTATCATCACATTTCCTATTCCTGCTCGGCCATGCTACAACAGAGCAAGCAGAATGACAAGACTTGAGCTTGCGCTCAGCCTGCATCTCTTTCTCTCCTTCAAGTACAGTACCAGACCACATTCCACAAAACCAGGTTTGTACAAAGAAAAACATATATTAATATATATATATACACAGCACATTCAAGAAGATTAAATGAAATATGTCTGCATGTACTACATATTACCATAAAAATACTGAAATTTGTGGTTTCAAAAAAAAATCCAAGAAGTGTCTTTCGCTACTGGAATATTATGATCAGTGGCTTTTTCTGTTGGTGTGAAGGTAAGAAATTATATACTGTATGTCCCTGTATGCAATATAATAGTAGCAATTAATTATAACGGTATGAACTGATGATAGAAGCACCAATGACTTCAACAGCATGTATTATCCTAATGCTTACTCGCCACTGGGTCTCTTCTGTTGATCTATGTCCTCCTCTCTCCAGATCTATGATGGAGACAATGTTAACAGCCCATTGGTGGGGACCTTCTGTGGGGCCCTTGTGCCCGCTTCTTTCACCTCAACAAACAACTTCCTCACCATCAGATTCATCACAGATGGCTCTGTTGCTTTCAGCGGCTTCAACGCCACCTTCACAGCAGTAGACTGTAAGCGCTGACACTTCATTGTTTGTTCTCCAGCCCTGAAAGCTCTGTAGTATTTAGGTGCAAAGAAAGAGGAAATTTTACCTGCCGGGTTAGAGAGCTCAGGACTCCACACACTTAAAACAGGCAACGGCTTATTGCAGATAATTACCAAGCTCATGTTTTCAGCCTGGATAGCTTGCACTTTGGAGAATTTCATTAATCATTATTCATTATAGCTAGTTTTGGAAACATTTTTTTTCTGCTTTGGTTGATCTCTGTCACCACAGCTAAAAAAATGTGGACATTGTAGTAAGACCGTTCACACTCCCTCTCGTGGCATCACTGGATACGGGAACAAGCAAACTAATGCAGCATCTCTCACCTATAACTTCATAATTGGACCCTAGGTTACCTTGAAAAGAAATGTACATGGCACTTAACAGGCAGGATCAGTGGTGCGAGAGCGTGGGCAGGTTTCTTAGGATTTAAAACACTGCTTCTGAGAAGGTGCATGATACATGATAAGGTCCTTGTGTTCTGGAGGAAATTACCACTAGCCATGTGTTAGGAGGAAATGTTTTAATATCGTTACAAATGGGGAGTTACGAAACTGGTGAAAATCAGGAATTGACTGAGTGGTTTAGTCAGTAAGTAAAATCGCACAACTTGTAAGTGATTCCTCTAAAAAATACCTGTGCGGCTGGAGAAATTAGAGACAGATTAATTCTTTGTTTTCTGGCACAACTTTGGTGAAAAGAGAAATAATCTTTGCACACTTGGTTAAACATATTTGTTAATGATGACAATACAAAAGCTACACTAAAGACAATGAAACATGGAACACACAAGTTACTATATTTACAGAATGTACAAACAAGGCGTATCAGAGGCCTAACAGCCTAATCACCCAGAAAACCCCCAGACATCTACTAAATATGACACTCATACCCAAGTTACCTAAAAACAGAATAGCAAGCTCTCTCTAGCATGTTTCAGATACTTAGCTACAGTCAGGTTTTGTTTGGGTGATCATGAAGTATAGGGGCGCCTGGCGCATGTTTCAAGTTTCAACTCTTTCAGTCTCCTCTCTGTCATTTTGAGACAATCATAATAACCAGATTATAATTTCCCTTAATTGGTAGTCTAGAACTGTTAAAATCTAATAAGACTTTTTTGTTTTAAGGAATGTGTTAACAGGTACTTTCAGTTTTCTGTAATTTATACACTTGTGGTACTGATTGTTAGTAACACTTGTTCAGTTTGAAGCAGTATATGATTATCCACTTCAGTTCAGATACTTATAGTGATGTAGATCGAATGTGAAAGCCCTTGTACTGTCTTCACAACCGAAGAAGGCTACACAGCCAAAACATTGTGTTTCTTTTCTTCTTTTTTCAGCATTGAATAAACCTTCAGTTGTTCGTTTACACTTGTACTATAATGCTATCATGTTATTTAGAATGTCAAATTTTTCCTTCTTTTGTTTAATATTTTTTATAAGCTTTCTAATGTTGTATGAGGCTATGCTGAAAGTGTGGAACATACAAAAACATTTGGAAGGAATCATCAATCTATTATTCCGTATTTTATTCACAGAGATCCTACTAATCTGTCTTGGGAAAATTAAAGTACTTGAAAAAGAAGAAAATTGCTGGAGATTATTAGTTTATATCAAAAATAGTCTCAAGAGCCCTAGAAAGCAACATATGTTAGTGGTTTCTGTTCTGTTTAGCATATACATTAGTGTTTTATTGCAATAATAAATTACAAAGAACACATTTTAAGCAGTTAAATGCATTCATTAAGTACAAAGTATGGTTGACCAGTTAACCTGTTTGTTCCCAGTGCTTTGCGGTGGACTTCTCAATGCCACTACTTCCCCCCAGACCATCACATTCCCCCAGCACCCCAACAACTACCCCGACTTCACCAACTGCCGTTGGACACTGGATTCTCCCACACAGGAGCATGTCAGGCTCTCGGTACAGCACTTCCATTTGCAGTCCACTCAGAACTGTGCCCAGAACTACCTGGAGTTCAAAGACTGGCCAGGGGTAAGGAAATTATATTAATGCTGGTTGTTGGCCATTTCTGTCTTTCACAGGGATCTACTGCATAAAATGCAGGAGTTTTCAAGAGCTGACAAAGAAGCTTCTTGTAAAATTGTAACACACTTATAATGAAGAATGTGGGCTCAGCTTTGTGCTGCATGGGATTTTAAAGTAGATTTGTATTCTGTTATTTTGATGCCACATACATTTCGTATTACTTTTATAACTGGTAAAAGCAAACTTTATGAATATTTTTCTGTCTGTTACTGTACACTGCTGTTGTGTTGTTGCTGCAATATTTACAGTAGATACAGTGGCACACATAAATTAAGGGGAGCTGCTTATTTCACTATCTTACAGGGAGACTATGGTCAGTCGCACAAGTTCTGTGGGACTGATGTTACAGTGCCTGATTTCTACTCCTATGGCCGCACTGTTCTTGTGAGCTTCAAATCTGATGAGTACATGAATGGAAATGGCTTCAGTCTGACATATCAGATTGCAAGTAAGTTTTTCAGAATTCATGATAAGTATATTTCTAATGGCAGCAAAGGAACAAATAATAGGTTTATACCCACCTGAACTTTCTTATGGCAGGTTACCTGTTTTATCTACTCTACTCTTACTCACAGGGCAAAAGATTTCCAGCTGGGTAAAAAAAATCTACAGCAACAAAAGGAGTCAACATATTGGTTGAGTGCAGAAAAAGGAAAAATGTGCATGAAGTTTATCTGTGAAATACATTAACATCAGAATACATCAGACATTAGAATTTAAAATTTTGCTGCAACTCAAATATCTTATTATCTTATACAGGCTTATTTTGCTGCAGACTTGCTCCTGTTCTTGTCTTCACACACAAGTACCATTTTCTTAGGAAAACGTAAATCAATATTTAGGATTCTTATTATCAGAATCAGGTGGCACGGTGACATAATACAGTAGTTTGCAGTGCTGGGAAACTGGGTTCAATGCTGGACTCTGGTTCTCCCTGGAAGAAGTGATTAGAAAATGGATGGATTATCAGAATCAGAAGTGTATAATGTACTTCAAGCAATGTAAATATGGAAATACAGACAATATTTTTAGTTTTCCAAATGTTTTCTTCTCCAAATGATCTTGTATCTGTACAGTGAAAGTATTACTTTTGAAACTTTTGAAAGAGATTGCCATTCACATCATTTGTTTTTAATTACTGTAGCTATTCTTTGCTGTATTATATAAGATATTTTAAAAAAAAAACTTTCTGTGTTGCACTCCAGGCTGCAGCAGGGTGTATGAGCAGGCCTTTGGATACCTGAAGAGCCCTGGATGGCCAGATATGTACCCTCACAATATTGAATGTGAAATTATTCTCCATGCTCCTGAGAACAATTCCATCTCCCTGTTCTTCAACAGCTTTGACCTAGAGACACATACCTCCTGTGCCTATGATTTCCTGGAGGTGAGTCATGCCTGGCAGGACAGAGCCTCAGTTTTTTTATCCGTATCTGTCAACCTTAATAAAAATGGTAGAATTTCTAGTACTGTAAAACAGGCAATTCAAAGTTAGTTATACCAAACATTTATCTTTAATTAAAGTTAATAATATCAGTATATGCAGTACATCACATTACAGGAGATCTTAATGTCTACTATATAAGCAAAGCCTAACCATAGCTGGATTAGGTGTATTATAGTATGTTCTGCACACAATATTGCTCAAGCAGGAATGTTTTTAATTAGTGCAGTTGGGTAGCTGCATCAGCATGCGTAAACTGCAAAGGAACAAGTAATAGGTTTATTCCATGTTGAAAAGAGAAGAAAGAAAACACAATATTTCGGCTGTTGTATTGTGTGTTGTGTTTTTTTTCTTCTTTTATCATCATGGAAAAACCTATTACTTGTTCATTTTTAAAATGTGTTTTACTGCATATTAATAGCAATTAAAATAATAGGAATTATTGCATAATAATAGGAATCACTTTGAAGATGTGTTTTGTAGATGCCTGCTAGATTCTGTCCTAATACTCAGGAGAAAAGCCATATATTTCCCTTCAGTGACTAAAACAGATACGTTTGATCTGGTGAAGAGACAATTCTAAATACTGAGGACACTCACAGATCTCCAGTCTTCTCCAACTTAATATAGGTTACAGTATTAACACATTTATTAACACAGTATTAACACTATTTTCACACTGTGATTAAAGGGTGGTTTAACAATCTCCTGCAAAGGGGTTGTTTTTGGAAATAGTCAGAAACTAATCTCAGCTTATCGAGTTGTAACATTTAACACATCTAACCCTGACCCAAATGATGTCTATGTGCTTTCCCAATGGAGTTCAGAATATCAATATGTATATTAAAGAACAAACATACACAAATATGTATGAGCAAAGCCAGTTAAAATTATTTTGTTTTTGTCACAATTTAAATGTAGTTTTTTTTCTTAAAGTGGCATAGCCCTAGACATCAGTAACACGATGGAGCTGTAATTCACTGAATCATAGTGATTATGGGTTTCAAATTATATCTTATATTGTTTGTGACTTCCTACTGCATTGTTTATACTGCCTCTTTTTCCTGTTTCATGAATCAGTAAGGAGTCAATCACTGATCCAAGTGCTTATTTTGTGATATATTGATTTAACATTGTATCCAAAGGATGGTACCTGGTATAGCACATGATTCTCTACAAGTTCTGATTCAGAAGTAGACATTCTACCTCCTACTGTACTTGTCTATCAACTCCACTCTCAGCAGTGTACACCATTGTCAAAGTTGTCATCCATCCAAGTGTGGACCAGATCCAACCCTGCATAACTTCTAAGATCTGACAAGATCAAACAAACATCTTTAAAATCTTTATTTTTCCTCAAAATCAGAATTCAGAAAATTGGAGGGTTTAATACACCACACAAATCCCTCACGAAGCATAAGTAACAAAGTGTAGGACATGCATAGTATAGAGACAAAAAAATTAAATATTGTATATACAAATGACTTACTTAACCCCCAATCTTGTTTTTGCAGATCAAAAATGGTAGCACTTCCAGTGCCCCATTGCTGGGTAGATATTGTGGCCAGACACTTCCTAGCCCTGTCTTCCCCATGAGCAATCTGCTGTACCTCCACTTTAAGAGTGATTTCTCAAATGCTCGAAATGGTTTTGAGATCACCTGGACTTCTACACCAACTGGTAAGATGGCACACTGAACAAGTGATTACAGATGTACAAAACCCTAAGAAAAATGGAATAGCTAAAACAGATTTTTTTTCCAAGGGGGAGAAACATATTATGTAAAGAAATTTTTCTGGACTACTTATAATCTGAAGCAGAATACAGTATAACTTCATGACAGGTCTCAGGAGTGGGCTGAGGCCAGACCAACTTTGGTGTTATAGAATCACCTTCCCTGCCTAATCTAGTCCATAATCCACTTTAATTACAGTACATAGTTTCCCCTTCTGTCAAAACAGAGTTTCTTCAGTCTGATCTGTCAACTAAAGTTACTCCATCCAAATGAGAGCGCCCACCAATTTTCCCACTGGAGCAAACTGGCTTCTTGGAAAGTGAGTTAATTGTTGGTAGCAAAACATATTAGTTGGGCGATTTAACAATGCAACTTCCCTTACATATCTCGAAATAACCTTTCCGTAACCACTAGGAAATGATTTCACAACATAACCTTATAGTTTTTAGTAAACTCTTAAGTCGACAGGCAAGAACCATAACCTCGTTATTCGCTTTAGTTGCGATTCTTTTTATTCACAACTGGTCTATCTTAAAAATTGGGATTACCCAGAGAACTTTGTCAAGAGATCCCTTTTACTGTGTTCTCTACCTATTTAATGTAAAACCTAATTGTAAACTGATCTATCAAATGTTACTCCCAGATGTGAATGCCTGCACCTAACCCATTTACAAATGCCTGTAATTTTCTCTCTTGCCCTTATATCACCTTCCTGCAAACCACTATGGACAGCTCAGAAAGACATTGTACTTTTTGAGCCTAAAATGCTGCATCTGAGTGACTATATTTCTTGCTTGGTCTGTTGGTTTTGCTTGGAGACTTACTTAATCAACACAGCTAACTTGTTTTACTTGCTCTTTTTGTTCAGGTTGTGGTGGTGTACTATATGGGGATCATGGCTCCTTTGCTAGTCCTAACTATCCAGGGACCTACAATAATGGCACAGACTGCGAGTGGACCATCACAGCACCAGTGGGACGAGTTGTTACTGTGACTTTCTTTTACATCAATATTGATGACCCAGGAGACTGTCAGAACAACTATTTGAAGCTTTATGATGGACCAAACTCAAATACACAACCTATTGGACCATATTGTGGAGTGGTAAGAAAAAAATAAAAATTTTAATTTAAAATACCATATGATTATAATGTTTTCTTTTTTAATCATTTGCTATATTGTTTATGGGAAGGTCAAACTTTCAGATTGGTGCCCGTATTTGTCACATCTTATTTAGGTTATGATGATTACACATTAATTTCATTTAATGTCACAATTAATGTCACATTTTAATTAATGAAATCATGATTGCTAACACATTTTAACACAGCTGGTAATCTACCTATTAAGCCTTTTGTATTGCACTGCCTATACAAATAATATGAGCTCCTCATCACCTTTGCCATTTCTTTCATTGTTATGAACAATAGAACACAGATACAGGTGAAACTGTGTACCTAAACAACATATTCAGTGAATATGCAACCTATTACACATTATAAATAAAAATATTTATTTTAATTCCATTATATTACTGTCACATAGTTTATTAAATACAATACTCATGCTGTGGACTGTAACGGGAGCCGGTCCTGACTCCTGTGAAACCTAATTGTACTCCACTCTCAGTGAAGTGCGTAGTTTAAGACCCTGTGCAGACTGTATAATCTGGAAGTGACTGAAGTACAACACCGGGGGAAAGATGGTAGGATCAGGATGGGATGACAGACAGGGAAGTGTGAAGGCTGTGGTCTGGTGTTCAGGGGGCGTGGTGCAGGCAAACAAACCCTAAACAGTCCAGGTGAACATAATAATGAAACTAAAATACAAAAGGGTTGGAGCGCCCTCTAAAGGAGGGATGACAATCGTGACATGCACTATCTGTCGATGAAATGACATTTCAGACACTATCTTTTTGTGATTGAATTGTATAAAGGACTGCTGTGGTTGTTGAGTTTATACTTCTGTATTTAAACATTAAGCTTCATGCCTTTGAAATTATTTTAAAACTTTTTACAGAAAGCAAACAGATCCCAACAGGAGTTTTTAAAAATATATTTCGGATAGATATTTCTCTGTATCTATCAAATACAGTATCTAGCTGTGTGATGAATGACACAATTTATATGGATTATTGTAGCATTTATTAATTTGCAAAACTACAATTTATTTGTAAAATCTAAAATAATATTCTTCTAATCATTATGATGAAGACAGATTGAGTACATTTTTTTCTACCACAATTACTCTTTTGCCTGGAACCAGACACAGTGCTCTTTTCAGCACACAAGATGCCTCAATGTAACCTTGCAGTGTGGTAGTAATTCCTGACCACTTTCAAAGAGAGAGTTAAGCCATAGGACAGGAATATTGAAACATACAGAACAACAGCTTAGGAATGCAATAAATTCACAAACTGCTGTAGAGTGTGCACTGACATTTTATTGAACAGATATAACAATTAAACCCATTGTGCTGGGTAACACTGGACATCAACAGTGTTGATGAACTGGTAGTATACCATGAATAGCACATGCTAGTAGAATGTGTGGCTACCTTTGGATGATGATGATAATAATAATAATAATAATAATAATATCAAATGGGGGTTACAAAAGTAATGAAAATCATGAAAATGAAAGCGGTTTAGTCAATAAGTGAAATAATTATTCATAACCCCCAACTTGCAAGTGATTTCTCTAGAACAGGGGTTCTTAACCATTTTGAGAGTGTGATCCTTTTTTGGGATTAAAAAAATTCCGTGACCCCTCCACACACACAGAGATTTAAAAATCTTCACGTTGCCTAAATTGTAAGCCTACTCACTTAATAATAATTTTATTTATATAGCACCTCAAAGAGCTTGTTACAAAAGAATAAGTTAACACTTTAAGCACGTTAGAATAAGCAACAATAACACATTTTTAAAAACCATGAACAAACAATACAAATAGCACTGAAAAATTAAGTAAAAGCAAGAGTAAAAAATAAGTTGTGAGCTGGCGTTTAAAAATATCCACAGAGCCAGCCTCCCTAATACTTTTAGGAATACTATTCCACAGTTTGGGTGCATAGTAGCAAAAGGCTGCCTCTCCAGTCCTCCTTTGCTTAATTTCTGGAATAACCTTTTAAGGTCATGCACTTGTTTCACTGGCCTTGATGGAATTTACAGTACGAACAGCTTCATCAATTACTTGTTTGAGTTCGGGAGGCATTTTCTTAGCTGCAAGTGCTTGTCTATGAATCATACAATACGTCCACAAAGCGAATGGAGCAACGGCCTATACTTTCGTGACTAGCCCACTGTGATTGCCAGTTTTAGTTCGTGCACAGTTTGAGCAGATTCTCACACACTTGTTCAGTCAATTTCATGGTCACGTACATATGTGTCCAACAAAACGAAAAGTTGATCGCCAGTGGTGCACTCTGGAAGAGGACGGCAGAACAAAAAATCCTCATTAATTTCTCCCTCTTTCAACAACACTGTTTTAAACAAGCATTTGTGCATCTCCGGAGACATCAGTGTTTCATCAAGTTGTAAAGAAAAATACACACTAGATTTTATCTTAGTGATCACCTGCTCTTCCACATATATATCTTCCACATACACCCAATGCGGTTAGACACAGTATCATTTGACACTGGTATCAATGCTAGCTGCTCTGCCACATATTAAAAAACCCTCCATTGCTAGGCTAATCACGACTACCTTGCACCAAAAAAAAGTGCTACAAATATAAATGCAATCGTGGCCGTCCTGATAGAAATTAATGTAGCACCCTCACCAGGCGCACCGCAGAGCAGGCTGGGAGTTGTAGCCGGGAGATGGTCTGTGGGCTTGCAGAGTGACCACTAAGTCACCCTGCTAATTTAAATAGTCTTAACCGTGCAGGTGTATATAATAGTTAATTGTTTACCTCTGTTATTGTCCTTTGATGGGTAACCACCCTGAACCAGCGTATGTGTCCCATTTACCGCCCTAGTGTGTGTGTCAACCTTTGGTTGATTCTGTTTCTGTTGCCTTTTGTGCGACCCCCCTAGGACTATGTGGGGCGCGACCCCCAGGTTAAGAACCCCGGCTCTAGAATATACCAGAGCACTTGGTATAATTACAGGCATGTGGATTCTTTGTTCTCTGGCACAGCTTTGATGAGAGGAGTAATAATCCAGGGACACTTGGATAAACAAATATTTTTTTACAATGACAACACAAACTGCATTTCACATAACAAAACATAAAACACATAAGTTAGACTATGCACAGAAACAAAGCATTCCAGAGGCCTAACATTCTGGTTACCCAGAAAACCCCAGACTGCTGCTAAGCATTAAACTATTTATGCTTACAGAGGGCACAAAAGAGATAAGCCTTCTAACTAAATACATAACTAAATGCAATCTGCAGTTCAATCTCTCTCTCTGGACCCTGGATGCCAGAATATAAATGGGACCCTATATCCCTATCCATAAAAAATGCACCCTTTTCTAAAAACAGAGCATAGCATGCTCTCTCTAGTAAAGTTCAAATACTGAGCTCCAGTCAGGTTTGGTTTGGATGATCATATAGTGGGGGCTCTTGCCTGGTGCAAGCTTCAAGTCCCCTCTCCTCTGGACTCTTGTCTCTCCTACTTCACAGCTTATTCTTTTCTTCCCTCTCTTCTTCTTTGTACTTTCCCCTCTCTATACTTTTAATGTGATATTATACTGTGATACATCTAAATCTGTAATAATAATAACAATAATAATAATAATTCCTTACACTTATTGCTCTTCTGGACACTCCACTCAAAGTGCAGATAAAGTGGACTCCCCTCCACCACCACCAGTGTGCAGAATCCACCTTAGTGACGCAATGGCCAGTACACTCACCACACACCAGCTATCAGTGGGGAGGAGAACAGAGTGATAAAGCCAATTCTAAGATGGGAATTATAAGGAGGCCATGATTGGTATAGGCCAATGAGAAATATCAGAAACAAAAGCAATTGTTTGTTGTAGTAAATTGTTTTGGAATGATTTCCCAAAACATGTAAACTTATTTTTATATAATTGTACATGGATAGATTGATACATTTGTTTTGATACTTAGTTTGCTTCAATGATGTTAGCTTAACGGTAACAGTGCAATTTTACTCAAGGAAAAAAGCAGAAACATTTGTCTGCAGGAATATTAATTATGTTGTATCACAATGGAGTTTCACACAAATTATCCCAAGTTTCAAAAATGGAATAGATGTACTGCTGACAGACTGGCCTGCGTATATACTAAAAGACGTACATTGGTGCAATAACAGCAGTGTGAGTCACAACTATGAATACATTATTACTGTACATGTGAGCAGACAATTAATGCAGCTTTTGTGTTTTGTCCCACAGGAAACAAGCATTGCTCCATTCACATCTTCCTTTCACCAAGTATTCATCCAGTTCCACTCTCAATATGTAACACAGCCCTCTGGGTTCAGACTGACCTGGAGAAGCTGAAGAAAGAAGTGACAAATATAAGTCAGTTGTAATGTCAACCATCTTAAATTGCTTACTCCAAAAGAATCCTTCAATGACTTTCAATGAAATCCATGTATCAGTTGTTAAATATATGTGAATTTACTAAAACATTTTTTAAATATTTCAAATTATTTTATTGACAGTTCTGTTTATAAATAAAGGCTGCTTCCTTTTATGTGATTTTAATGTAATGTAAAAATAAATTATTTAAATAAAGGCTTTGGACAAATATATCTGAGCACATTGCACACTTTCCAGGTACTGTCCATGGCCAATCTTTAAAACTAAATCATAATAACATTCTGGGGGGGATATTGCATCAACTAGATTACATTTTAACCCACTTAGAACTATGAAAATTATGTTTAGTGTCACCAGATAAAGAAATCAATGTGAAAAGATCAATTGCACCAATTTCTTGTGTTTTATTTCATTTCTGTTCCTAAATCTATTTTGTTAATCCAAACATTCAACATAAAAAATATATCTACTTGACATGGAAAAAAACATGCTCACAGTATTTAAGTGCACTTAGATTTTGAGCTCTGTAATTCAGGTTTTTTCTGTTGGTATCCCTCCTTTTAAATATATAAAGTCTCTATCAGAATGGCTAATTTTGTTTGTTACCAGGGCAGTCTAACACGGTCAGCATATTCATTTTACAAACTAGTATTCTTCTTGCACACACATCAGCTAAATTCCTGACAGCAGCACAGTCAGAACCTGTCTGTGAGATAGCTATCAAATCCAGAAACTTAAAAGACATCCTCTAATAGCTCCCTGACAAGAAATCGGACAGCATCTATCAAGATCTTGACAAGATTTCTGCACAGCAGAAAGCGACTGAAGTAAGATGCTAACGAACTGCAACATTGCAAATGTGTCTTATTTCTCTGCAAAATACCTCAAACACATTCTTTGTCATAAATGCCTGAGGGTGGTCTGAAAGTTTTATATATATATATAAATCCTAATCAGCAATATTGGTATCTACCAAGAACTATGCTATTAGTGTCACGGAAGCTGGAGGCTAGCCATGGAGAGAGACCAGCAAGACAAGAAGACCCTATGCGAAGCGGCAGGAACGGAGCAAACACGGGTTCGCTCCGGGCTCAAGGTATTGGGTGGAGTTGGAACGAGACATAAGCCCTCAGGTAGCAGAGGTGGGGCGACCTGTTGAGGCGAGCCTCTCGACATCCGATCCCAATGCCAAGCAAGGAGGAAAGGGAGACCCGGAAATATATAGCCCTAGACATTAAGACACACCAGAAGAACAATTAAAGCACAGGGAAACTAGGAGCAGGACAGAGCAGGAGCACTCTCTAAATGTAGAGGGTGTGACACAGCAGCTCCTGACACCCAAAAAATAAATGAGCTGCACAGCACTGGGGAGAGGAAAAACCTCATTTAACTGAAAGGAAACCTCCAGGAGTCCATGGCTGAGAGCTACCCCCTCCTCCGGGGTAAACCTTTGTTGAGTAGAGGGAGGGGGGGCCAGGTGGGGCTCTGGAGGAGTGAGACAAAAAAACAGACAAAACACATAAAAAACATGCACAACAAAAATAAACTCTGATGGAACAGGAGAACAGACACATAAAAAAAATGACTCACAACAGATAGGAAGAGCAAGGGGCATGAAAGCCTGGAACCAGGATAACTTTTTTTTCCAAAAACCAGGAAACAAAAATAAAAAAAGGGTAGCGGATGTGGGGCGACTTGTTGAGGTGAGCCTCTCACCAACTGATCCCAATGCCAAGCGAGGAGGAAAGGGAGACCTGGAAATATATAGCCCCAGACAACAAGACACACCAGAAGAACAAGCACAGAGAAACTAGGAACAGGAGAGAGAAGCAGCGCCCTCTAGTTGTAGAGGGTGTGACAGAACTACATATGATGGGATTATAGATTGATATTTTATGTTTTGTCTTTTGCAGTTAGACTATGATAAATGTTGCATATTAGGAGAAAAATACATTGTAATGTTGTCAAGTTGTCAAAGGTCTGACACTATGAACCCTTAAGCAATACAAAGCATTTTAAAAATGTTCTCACATCAATGTTCTGTTGAAAGCAGGACAGTTGCGATGTGGATTTTTTTCCAGGAACTGTTCTAGTTTCCTTAGAAAAGCCTGAGTATAAACAAAGAAAACAGCTAAGCAAGATTTAATTACAGCTGTTTCAATATGCTCAGTGTGTGGACTGTTAATCGCTGCAAAACCAATGTTCCCTTAAAGCTTTTGAAAAAGTGTTTATACATCAAATGTTTTTATAGATACCTTCAGTATGCCTAGTTTTGAATTATTGAATCATTTTACTTTATGGATCTGATGTCTCTCTGGAATTCTCTTTACTTGTGTTTTGTATCCTGAACTTTTGCATCTGAAATGTGGAACAACAGGATCACAGCTGAACTGTATTTTCACAAGTGATATATGAGCTTACCATTTAGTTAACTATAAAAATTAAGTATATACATTTTTGTTTTAGAACCAACATCACTAAATAAGCACTAACAGCTTTAGATCCCAGCTGCCATAAATCATCCTGTCATCACAAGAGGATTGTCCCCAGTGACCAGTGTTCCATCATGAAAACATAATCCACTGGGAAACAATTCTTGTTTCTTCTGTATTCACTGTTGAATTTGAATTTAAACATCACATTGTTTATGATTTGTTTATATTGAGGAAATTCAATGTGTTTTTTTTTAAATAGAAATATGTTCTCGGATGACTGAAGAACATATCTGTATGTAAAGTACAAAGTACAAGCACTTTGCTGTTTATATATGCTCTTTTGTGCATTTTTTCAAACTGAGTGCTTTACAAAAAAAGATTCAGCAGTGCAATATTTTCATGAACAATACACCATACTGTAGCTTCATTACTAATAAAGTTGCTTTGTACCAAAATTCTATTTTTAATTGATTATTAAAGTGTACAAGTATATAAATAGTGTCGATCTACTAATGTTTCTGATTTAAAAAAAGAGTTTACAGTTTAACATCAGGAACGATTTCTTATTATTGGTTGTTGTCTTTCAAAAACTGAAGTTCAGTACCCTGTGTGGAATTTGTTCCTGCCAAATATAATCGGTCTAAATATAGAACAAACTATCGGGTCCTTCTAGTTAACTAAAACCTTAAAAAATATAAAAGTTCAGGCTGGCTCTGCATCCATAGGTACTGTTTGCTCGAGAAAAGTATCGAATTATTCCTGGAGGGCTTTCGGGGTGCTCTTATACAGCCGGGCACCGAGGTGAGAGAAGAGGAGAATGTGCTTCCCATGGAAGGTAAGGTCGAGAGCTGTGCTGACAGAGACCAGCACTGTTGGAAAAACAACAGTGTGACGAGAGCCCCCAGAAACAAAAAGAGAAACACCTGGTAGCGTCCTCATGCTTTTGGGGTTCTGCTGCCTTTCCAGCAGTTTGTTTTTAACGACCTGTGTAGGCATTTATTGAAGTTTTAGTAAACACGTGCTTTATATTTGCTTTAAGATTTTTCAAATATTCTGTATAAAACGTTGTGTGCACAACTATATGGATAAAAAAAGATTACATTTAAAGTAGGGTGTAAAAAGTCTGGTTACATTTCGAATTGTGAACTCCCGTGACAGAGTGCCCTATGATGGACTGGCTATGATGGACTACACGACTTTAAAAGTAGTCTTAACTGTCATTTAACACACAAATATCTATGAAACAGCCAATTGTAATAATTTTCTTAAACCCACTGTACTATAAAGGCATGCAGCACTATGTACGTCGCCAATGAAAAAAAACGCCTCCTTTAAATAAAATAATTTTAAGAAAGGAAGAAAATGCTTCGCGGTTGTCTCTTGATCTCTCATGGAATTATACGCTGGGCGGCCGTGATAACTTGGTAGGCAAAAAAGAGGTTTCTAAACCTGTCCGTTTTACAGAGTACTGGAAATGAATACAATGTTTAAAAATGATACATTTATAATACCTCCTTGGTTTTATGTTAGAATGTAATCGTTTATTGAATAATGTTTAATATTACAATTAAGAAGTTTATATTAAGTGTAGCTACATGGAGAAAATTAACGTTTATTATGCAATATGATTAAAATACGAAAATACCCTTTTACTATATTCAATAGTAAGATTGTTACTATACATAGGTTTACTGTCCATAGTGTTTAGTGTTTACATAGTGTTTACTGTGATAGAAAAATGAACTGTAGGTTCCACTAAGGTTAAGGAATGTTTAACTGGTTTGAAACGTTTACTAGAAACAGTTGTTTTAATGAAGTACTTCACTCGATACTATAAAAGTGCAAAACAGTACTGCAATAATTTTAAAGCACATCCTACTTAAGCCTACATTACGCAGTTTCACTGCGGAACCTATTGCTGTTACAACTTCCTCTTATGGAAGCAGTCTATAAAGACGCTGAAAAAAAAAACATTTTCTGATTGGGTGCAGTTCCTCATTTCGACTGTATTTACTATGGGATACAGACGAAATGAATCTGATTGGATCATATGAGAGAAAATATTCATATCCTTTGGCATTCCAGAGTCTCTGCCCGGCTGAGGAAGTGTCCTTTTAGGGAATGTGGACAATTTCACAACGCATAGACTGACTTCCGTTTGGGTTGGGTGTGCGTCTGTTAGGGTTCTGTTCTGTGTTTGGTAAACGTACATTTTTAGCTCAGACATATATATATATATTTGAGAACGTAATATAATTCCGATTTTATTGACTTCTTTTATTTGGATACAACCGAGAAACAAGGTTAGTGTTATTACTTTTATTTAACTTGTGTTCACATTGTTTAAACACAGCACCTCTGCACTATAATGCATCCGGTCTGCAAGCAGTGCATTAAGAGTTGTTCACCCACTTCATATACCTGTATTTTCGTTTAACAATGCTTTAATTTACGTGCAGAAGATGTCGAAGTCTTTAAAGAAAATTGTGGAAGAAAGTCGAGAAAAGAATTTGCCCGAAGTAGATATGTGTGATAGGGGAGTCTCCAATATGCTGGACATCCCTGGTCTCTGTAAGTATCATAAAGCAAAGAATAACATCTTTCTCCAATGTTCTTGTATGTTTTAGAAATGTGTGACTGACCCATTTGCAAGAAATTTCAGTTTATTTAATTTAAGTTTTATTAATCAAAATAAGTTTTAAAAAGTTCATAGCAGTGTACCATTGTGCTATAATAATAGGGCGGAGTGGTGGCACTGTGGCTAAGGATCTGCGCCTGTGGCTGGAAGGTTGCAGGTTCAAATCCCGCTGCCGGCAGAGGAATCCTACTCCGTTGGGCCCCTGAGCAAGGCCCTTAACCCCAGCTGCTTTAGGGGTGCTGTATAAATGCCTGGCCCTGCAATCAGACCCCAAGCTTCTCTCTCTCTGTGTGCCTGTGTGTCTCATGGCGAGCAAGCTGGGGTATACAAAAAGACAAATTGTATATTGCTAAATAAAGTGATCTTACTTACTCTTATTTAATGATGCTACTCTGCAAATGAACCTTTGCATCTTGTTTTACTAACAGTGTAATATAGTGTTCAAATATGACATACTGTATTTATACCACCTGACACTGTCTTTCTCTTTTTGTAAGATGATATTCTGTAGCTACAGGAGGTGATACTTAAAATATTTCCAATGTTCTAGTTGGCTGTTTGATCACAGATTATATATAAAAAGATCAAATCACTGTCTACTTGGTAATGTTTCTTGAAATATAGTAGATTATGATGGAATCTTTGCCTTTTTGTGTTGCAGTCACCTTATCTAACATCACTCAGCTGGTCCTCAGTCACAATAAACTTACAAGTAAGTTTTTTATTTCTTAATTTAAAAAAATTGTTTTGTTTTATGTGCCATTTAATTATTGGTTGTTTTATTCTGGAACATATCAGACATGGTTCTTAGAGGTGTGGTTTAATGATTACAAAATATCCCATAATGACACAACTCAGATGTAGGTCTCATCAGATGATTTGAAAATAAGCCTCATTGCAGGCATTTACAAGCAGGTAGGTTTATAATAAAATAAATTTGTTCTGGTTACAACTGAGTACAGAATATGTGAAGAATGATAAGCAATGCAGTTTTTTAAAGTGTGGACATTAATATACTATGTAAATTGATTATCAATGGAAAAATTATAATTATCATATGTAGCATTTTAACAACATCCTTGATTTTAGTTTTTTCTATACATCTTAATATTCCTTGTCTTTGTTGCTTTCCCACATTGTCTAGAGGGCATAAATGTGTCAACATAAACAACTAGATCTTTTGCTTTGTCAAATGCAGCCATTTCTGTGTTGTATTTGTAGTTAAATTTTTCTGTCTGAATATAACTCTCTGCACTTGGGCATTAAATATCGGATGTCATATGTTTGCCCAATCTTAAATTCTATTTTCTTATAAATTTCCTTTCAGCTTCTGTGATGTTTGCTTCATCCTTATTTTGTATCATCTGCTAATTTGACTTTATTAGTCAGCATATACAGTACCTTGCAGAAGTATTCAGACCCTTGACCAATTCTCTCATTTTACTGAATTACAAATCCTAATTTTAAATTTAGCACTGAAACTCAAAATTATTTTTTTAATGTGACATTGTTTTACCTTAGAAAATATTATTAAGAAAAATAAGAAAACTGAAATATGCTGTTTGCATAAATATTCAATCCCTGTGTTGTGGAAACTCTAAGTTTAGACAAGTGAAAAACAACTGCCCTAACAAGGATAAAATTGCTCTACTATTGGCCTCTATCTGTAAATCATTAAAATAACTGCCACAGTTTGTGGATAAAAATCCCACAGTTAAGGGATCATTATTCATGTTTTGAGTCCGAAGGACAGCTGTGTGCACCAGTCAACCACATTAAGAGCTCTGCATAACACTGGCTTTTATGGGAGGGTGGCACAAAAGCCATTACTCCAAAAAAAACATTTGAAAGCACGTCTGGTGTTTGCTAAAAAGTGACCCAGTTGTGATGTGGGAAAATATTTTGTGGTCAGATGAGACCAAACTTTTTGGCCAAAAGTGATATCTGTGGCGCAAATCTAACACTGCCCATACCTAAAAAAAGCATGGACATGGCATCTTGTTAAAATAGAAGGAAGAATGGATGGTGCAAAATACAGGGAAATACTGCAAGAGAACCTGTTTCAGTCTGCTGAAAAACTGACGCTTGGGAGAAAGTTAATCTTTCAGCAGGACAATGATCCCAAACACAAGGCCAAAGTAACATTGGAGTAGCTTAAGAACAAAAAGGTGAATGTCCTACAATGTCCCAGTCAAAGCCCTGATCTCAATCCAATTGAGAATCTGTGGCACTATTTGAAAATTGTGGTGCACAAGTGTCATCTGACTAACCTGAACAACCTGGAGCAAATCTGCCTGGAAGAATAGGCTAGAATCACCCCTGAACAGTGTGCAAAGCAGGTACATACTTACCCCAAAAGACTGTTATTGCTGCAAAAGGTGGCTCTACAAAATATTAAAATGTGGTGATTGAATACTTATGCAAACAGCATATTTCAGTTTATTTTTCGTAAGAATATTTTCTAACATAAAACAGTCACATTAAAATAATTTTGAGTTTCAGTGCTTAGAAATAAAAATATCACAGAGAACTAAATTTAAATGTAGGATTTGTAATTCAGTAAAATTAGAGAATTGGTTAAGGGTTGGAATTATTTTGCAAGGCACTGTATATAAGAATTTAAATTATTAATTTAAATCTGGAAGACCAGTGGTTCTAATACAGAAGCCTGTGGAGCTCTACTGATTAATCCTAAATAGTGCATCTGTCTCATCTAGACTGTTTTCTATTAACCATTTCTTAATCCAAGTACCTGCATTTACTGTACTTGAATGGTATCAGCATTTTAAGAATTCCTCGTAGAAGATTAACCAATTTTGTGATGGGGCAGTATTATGTTAGCAATAGGTCAACAGGGGAGCTGGAGCTTGTCACAGGAGGTGTAGTGATATGAGGATAAATTATTAGTAATCAATGTTCAGAAAGTGAATTCTTCATTTGAGTAAAACCTGATATATTGGAATATATATTTATACACATGTGTAGAAAGGCTTTCTATGTATTTGTGATAATAAAGCAAAAACATTAAAAAGTGAGTATATGGTTTTCAAGTATGGTTAGTCTGAAAAGATGTGATGTTTTGACTAAGGATTAATACTCGAAACCTTTTCTGATCTGTTTCAGGAGTGGTATGAGCAACATTTTGTTTACTCATTGGAGAGGATTCTTAAACCTCGATTATATCAGTCTCAAAATTTTCTCTGCATCTGGTGCACTGGTGCACCAATGTGATAGGCATTGATGTAATAACTGACCCTTTCACCAACTTATACTTCATCCTAAAGAGACCTTTGAGCCAAATTGGTAGTTCTACTAGCATTAAAGTGATTTCTAGTAGTACTAGACAGCAAAAGTGTAGCGGTCTTGGTGAAGTAAACCAAGAAATAAACCAATAAAAAATACTGTTGCAAGTTCACAGTATAGATAATAGCAATAATATTATACCTGTATATAGAACAAAAACACTTAAGGTAATCAAATGACATAGCTGAATATCTGATACCTATCCTTAATTTATTTTAATTTGTGCTTCATGTAAAATAATTAATGCAGTATTAAAGACATAATGCTATAAATACCTATTTACACTTTTGCTTGTGCACTGTACATCGCACATTAATGAGCAGTACATTAATATACATAATGCATTAGAGCAGTGGTTCTCAAACATTTTGGACCAAGTACCACCCCTGATCAAACCAAAATATCCACGTACCATCTGCAAGTCATCTTCTCATACGAACCACAGAAAATCTCAATGACCACCATGAGTGCGCACATACACATATAATACAAATAGCACTGAGCACTTACCAATTCAGTGAGAGGGGTGAGCCTTGCAATATCAGGGAGGAGGGTACTGAGCTTCAAATACAGATCTTGCTCAGCATCCATTTTGTTGCGGTATTTTGTCTTGATTGTAGTGAGAGCAGAGAAGCCTTTCTTACAAAAAGGTAAGAAGTAGCAAAAGGCATCAAAAATCGCACAGCCTTTAATGAGAGGGCTGGGTATTCACTCTGTCTTTGGATCCAGAAATCCAACAGTGACTGTCGTTTCAATTCTGACATCAAAGTCGCATTGGATAATAGCTCGAGCAACTTCTTGAGTGCAGCACAGGTCAGATCCTTGGGTATTCCTGTGACATCAACAGTAAAGTGGTTCCTGATCCACTCTGGTGTGGCCTCAACTGGAAAATACTCTGAGAACTGAGAACTTTTCTTCCAATGGCAAAAGGTGCACTGCAATCACATCACAAACAGCAGCATCAAGTCCCACACCATATGTGTGCAGATAGTTCTCCAAAGTTGGGAAAGCAGAGACATCGCTTGTGTTGATTTTATTAATAAAAAGCTGCAGCTTTTTCTTCATTATCTTGTCAGACACATCAAAAATTGTTAAAGACTGCAGTCCCACATTCGGCTCATTTCAACGTGAGAATATATCAGCCAGGTAGGCTAATGTTACCAGCAACACTACAAAGCACACTGAACAGATGTGAATTCATTTGTTGAGCCTTGATACAATTCACAACTTTGACAGTAGTCTAACACGGATTTTAAATCCTCAGGCATTTTCTTGACTGCCAAGGCCTCGCGGTGGATGCTGCCGTGCGTCCACTTCATATCTGGAGCAACCTCTCTGATTCGTGCAACTAGACCGCTGGTTCAGCATGTCATCCATCGCTCTTGCATCGTCTGTACATACTCTGACGCATTTTTTCCAGTCTATGCCATTTTCATCGATAAATGTATTCAGAAGCTGGAATATGTGCTCTCCTGTCGTTCCTGTTGGTAGCGGCTTACAGAACAGAAAGTCCTCATGGCACATGACCTCAACTCGTATCTAATGTAAACAAACAAATTGACCAAATCAACGGCATCTACAGACTCATCTAATTGCAGTGAAAAGCATCTGCTCATCTTGACACGCTCTATCAGCGTACTTTTGACGTCATCTGCTCTTTTGCCAACGGTGAACAAAGTTCTTCACCAATAGTGGGGCTTACATGCTTTAGCAATCCGCAAGCTTGCATTTTTTCCCCGTTTTCCCTTAAAAGACAGTTGGGAGTCCGTCTCAGAAGTTAAAAGAAGTTTTTATTTCATGGGCATGGGAGCGAAAACACAAAGACGCTCTGTATAGCCAGCCACCACTATGGCTGCCGTCGCATCATCCAGGTGGATGCTGCACATTGGTGGTGGTGGAGGGGAGTCCCCATTACCTGTAAGGCACTTTGAGTGGAGTGTCCAGAAAAGCGCTATATAAGTGTAAGCAATTATTATTATTAATAATAATAATAATAATAATAATAATAATAATAATAATAATATTATATTTTTTCGGCTCTGTGTATTAACCTAGAACAGTCCTTAAATCTTTTTCTGTCATCTATCACGCTTTCCTGTGTTTACAAGATTGTGTGTGATTTTGGAACACCTCCAGATATTCTCCTACCTCCCTATTTGCTGAAAATAACTTTACAATTGGTCACTTTCGTAGCACACATTCCTATACAATGTTATAGAATTACATAGTTGCTCTTATGTCCACTGAAGTATTAGCGTGCACTGTATCGTCGTTGCTAAGACTAAATACGTAGGCTGCGTATTTGACACATACACTAATTTTCTTAAAATAGAAAATATGAAAACTCGTCCCAAGTTTTTCAGTGCACACAACACATTTCTAGGGTCATCTGGCGTACCGCAGTTTGAG